AATCAGCTTCCCAAAAAGTGCCGGAGGTCCAGACACGGCACTGAGGAAAAATACTTACCCACACGTCAAACTGGGGCACAATGTCTCAGTTCTTGAGTTGGTCAAAACAACGGGATGCTCAAGGCAGCCACAAGTTGCATCCAGTTCGATTCGGGTCACTCCATGTACCAAAATAGGGGGGCCCGGAAAAGGAACAGTGCTCTTTTCTCCTTTTGGCATCCTTTGAAACAACTGCAAAAGGGGTACGGGGTACCCTAAACCAAAGGACCAGCATGACCAGCCCATGTCCCTAGCCTTCGCTTCCCGAGCCGTTTGAACCCCCCCCCACCTTCGGCGCGAGGACGGACTCCTGCACCTCAGGGGTCCCAAACGACCCCCTGAACTCCACCCCAAAAAAAAAACACTCGGCGCGCACCTGTCGCATCCGAATATTCGGACGAAAGATGTCTAAACTCGCAAATGCCTACTTACAAACTGGTCAAGTGGCCCCCCAAAATAGCAGGCAATGGAGGGAACATCTGGAAAATGGGCTCCTTTCTGTGGTCCCAAACTGGCTTGGGATCCCATCCAAAGGACTTCTTTATCATGTTCCATGCCCAAGATCACAAAAATGGCACCCAAACAAAGCTTCCTCCGCACACGAGCGTTTGGAGAAGTCCCCAAATCAAACATGACCATGTTTGGCCGGAACCCAAGCAAAACAGTGGTGTCTTGTTTGGAACCCTCGTGTGACCCCTATTCAAAGGCAAATGAAAGGGCTCCAGGGAGCAAGCTTGCAGCCTTGTTCCAGTAGCTCAGCTTTGACCAAAGAACATATGTTTGACTCCGGTCCATATTTAGCAAAACGTGTAAAGTGCAAAATAACCACATTCAGCAAATCTTACCAATGGTAAAGAGCAGATGCTGTGGCCTTTGCTAGCCCCCTGCAAGTCAGGTTTCATGTGTTTGGATCCCGATGCCATCTCGCGATATTTTGAAGGCAACCCCATTCAAGGTAATCCAAAAAGGTTTAAGCAAGCTCACCAATTGGAGCACCCACATGAGCCCTTCTAAATAATTGTGCACATTGGCAAATGAGATTTCCTGATGAAAACTACTTTACTCTCCATTTCGGGGGAATTGGACCGAACATTGCCCTGGAACCCCCCCCCCCCCGCCACCCCCTCCACACACTTCTTTTGAACATGCCCAAAACCGCTGGGGTCACCTTGCGGGTTGGAGGCACGAGGTACTAACAACAAAGACTGCACCCCACGAATGGCCAGGGTCAACCCCCCCCCAAAAAAAACAACACCGCACCTTGTTGGCCTCGACGTATGCCTGGCGCAAGAGACGTCAAGTGCCAAAGAGGCCGGGCTGGCCATGTTCAGGGACCCTACCATGGAGTTTCCAAATATTGCATGTGAACCAACCACAAATTGCATTAGAACAACATTTAGCTGGATTAGACAATCCAGTTCCAGGACTTTCTTAAACTCCTGTTCACAACCCTGGTAAAATTGCAGAACAAAAACAACTACAGGTCCCGTAGTTCCCTTACAATATGTTGCCGGCATCCACTGGAATGACACCACACACACCCAAAGACGACCCAATGGGTTCAGAAAGCCTAGGACACACCCAAAAGCCAATCATGGAAGTGGACGACCGGGGGCTTCCCGGGAAGCCAGTCTTCCAAGACTGTCGGATCAGCCCCTCCACGAGAGGGAGAAGCCCCTGAGGTCAAAGGGAACGGTTGGCGTGTGGGGCTTCTAGGGTCCTCCAAAGGATTCGGGGTCTTTTGCCTCCAGACCCCACAAGATGCTTGCGAACTCCTAAGTCTTGAGGGGGTTTTGGGGTCCGGGTGGTCTGTAGGGTTCCTAACGTCTACCCCGAAGTAATCAACCTGGCAGAATAATAGCGTTGGCATTTTTTTCTGATGGATAAGCCTATTTGGCTCAAGGGCCAAAGAAAGGTTCCCATGCATCCATACTACGACATCCTCCAAACGGTTTCGTTTTGAGATCCTCTCAAAATGCAGCCACTTCGGGGGACTTCTAAAGCATCCAAGCAAAGCCTTCCCTTTGAGACAGATTGAGGCTTTCCTACGCATAGTCCCTCTGTAATGGGTTGGGATAGTAAAAATTGGAGAACGGTGTCCAATTAAACTGTCTTCTTTAGACTAGCCTGATTCCTGATACGGAAAGCTACAAGGCTGGTATTTAAAATGAAGCCAAAAGCAAACCCTTGCCATTCTAGGGAAACCAATACTTGGATATGTGTTAATATAAGCGGGCCCAAAAAAACGGCGGTTCAGAGTTGGGTTTCCCTTTAAGCCACCCCAAAACAGGTAACAAACATACACACCCATCGACGCATCTCCGGCCTGGACCTGCGCTTTCCTTCCATAGCGCCACACAAGGAACGCGCCCACCAACCCGGCGCTCGCTGCCGCCACTACCACCGGCGTGACACGACTCGAGGAATTCGACGTCGACATGGCGCGAAGGAACGGCGAAATCGCCGAAAACGGCGCTTAAGGGGCTGTGGGAAACATGCTGAGCAAATCTTGGATTGAGAATTGCAAACAAGTTGTGAGTTCGGTACTTGTGAACGTTGACTTATCCCAAACGTCTTGGAGTGACACACAAGGTAGGGTCAGCTTCTAGACATCATGTGAGTTTGGAAGCTGAATGCCTCTTTGACTCGCCCTCGACGCAAGATCTACGAATTCCAAGAAACAAATCAAGGAAATCCAAAATAAGACTTCATGGGCGGGATTGCTTGTTTCATCCCTTGGGCATGCATTTGTAAGTGCTGAGAAGCTGTTGGGCCACACTGCGAGTTCGGCTCACTCCAGCAAGGCTGTCAAACTCGCGTGAGTTGAGTGGCCAGGTGGCCCTAGACTCCAGACGAAAATGATGTTCCCGACCCCTAGTAGATCTGCCAAAACAAGACTGCTCTTTGGAGAAAAAAGACAAGGTTTCCTTTACACCCTCAAGGACCCCAGTTGCATCGAGCGGGAGCCCAACAGGGCCAAAGGGCAAACAGGTTAGTAAGTCTGGCGAAGACAAGGGAGATCGCACAATTTGCAGACTTCATGGCTGTCCAGCCTTAAACTCCGAACTACCCCACATCGGAAATCGCTCATACGTTTGAGATATATCCTGGGGATAGTTTGAGGTGCTATTCACCCCCTCAAGTCTTGGCGGCGCATCCCGATATGGACCGCGTGCATTTGCTCTGGTGGACAGTTCTTCGACCTGCAGAAACATTCCGAGCTGTTTTCTGGATAGTGGGAAGAAATCTACCATGTTCGAAAGGTAAAGATGTAAAAGGTCAAACCCAGAGAGTCCAAAACAGCCTCTGAGGATGGCTGTTTGGGTTTTCTAACAAGGAAATTAGAGTCCCCTCAGGGACTTGGACTTTTCGGACTGACCACGAGCAGATTTGAACCGGAGCACACTTGAAATGACATGGGGCAGACTTACCAAATGGGAAAATAGGGGCTCACCCGGTTGAACCTGCAGATTGCACTCTTCTCATGCAATCTCTTGTTTGCTGTTGGGTATACGACCCCATTTGTGGAGACTTCAATCAGCCTCCAAAAGCAGTCGCTTCACTGAGCCCCATGGCAAAATTATCACCCATATAAGCCAATGACGTTTAGTTTTACTGACATGGTCAAGAAGGTTTGGGTATAGGCATAGGGTTAGTTTAGAGTTGGTTTAGGGTTTGCCTGGGCTTTGTTCAGGGTTGGTTTAGAGTTGGTCTTTCTATAACCCACATGAATCCGGAGAGTCCAACCACCCACTAAATTCCAAATTGGGGGGGGTTGGGGGGTTGGGTGTGCATTTGGCAGTGGGTCAAAAATAGGTACCCCAAATGGAACCCTGGTCAACGGAAAGAAGGACTAAAACCTGCGGTCCCCTGGTGGTTTAAGTTTGACCCATGATGGGTGCATTTGTTGATGTTTGTCTCACGGGCAATCCCCAGACCGGATCCCTGAGGCCATGAGGCAACCATTGGGATGAAGCCCGTTTGACGCCTTTCGGGACCTTTCTTCGTGGTTTTTGGTCCTTTGACTTCCAGGGGCGTCCCTGTGTCTTCCGTTTAAAACAACCCCCAAAACGGGTAGCTCCAAACTGGGGCCATTTTCTGGACTCGATGTCATGGCTCCCCTGGACCCACTTTGAGCTCCATACATATTCCAATTGAGGAGAGGAAATGCTACGAAGAAGAGTCTTGTCTAAAATGGAAGCTGACAAGGCTCGACACTTACGACAATTCACGATTGAGGTTCCCGCAAAAGGCAAAACAGAAACTAGAAGTGGGTCGTCATCTCCTTCTATAGACACACACACACACACACTTGTATTCAGTTGTGTGGCCAAAACGACCCCTCTTTTGGTCCCCGAAACTGTCCCCAAAAGGGTCGCTAGATTTCCCCAACCTCCAGTCTGGGTGCTAGTTAGGGATCTGAAACTAATAATTATGCAAACTATTTTTGCTTTATTATGGGCTATTTAGCATCCAGCAAATAAAGTCTGTTAAACGTCCCCTGATACGCAAGACAATCAAAACCCAGATGCTGAAGGCCCCGCATAAGCTTTGCTGGGACCCCATGAAACGTGCATTTTTCAGAAAACCCTCTAAAAAGGGGTTTTGGTTGACTGTCTTCAGAACCTGTCTGGTTGCTAGGGGATGTACCAATTTTGAGGTACCCCACAAACCCTGAAGACCCCATCTAAGGGCCGAGGGATACTAAGCCTTAGGGGAAAATATTGCCAAGCAGGGCCAAGCAAGGCCAATTCATTCCTCAACCTCCATTCGCTTAAGTGCCCTGACAAGAATAACAACGGTCCAGTAGATTCCCTTTAAAACCACTCGGAGAAAATCAAGCCTATTCTGAAAGGAACATGGATGTTAAGGATTGTGAGCTGATTGCGTGGTCTTTTTGAGGGCGTTTCGCCCTGGGACCCTGGCACCCAGAGACCTGAGACGAGTTCTGAGCGGCTCTCCTTGAAGTTTTGCTCTGTTATCTTCCCCATGAGCTCGGCGTCAAAGCAGGCCTCGGAACTCGGAGATCCGACCGCGGATCCCGGATCCCTTTGAGCATGGCGTGCAAGGTGATTGACGCAAGGGCTTAGAGGTACCAAAGGATTTCCAAGGTTCTAGATTCCAAAAAAAGCAGAACAATCTGCAGCAAGCTCGTTGGCTATCAGAATGTCTGTAGCTTGTTTCTATGATACATCTTCAACCTGAACATTCTTCGGGGCCAAGAAAACAACCTTGAGGGCCGCACAAATCTCTCATTGATGGGCAAAACACACACACACACAGACCCACCCACCCACCCACCCACCCACCCACCCACCCACCCCCACCCACCCACCCACCCACCCACCCACCCACCACCCACCCACGCACGCACGCACGCACGCACGCACGCACGCACGCACGCACGCACGCACGCACGCACGCACGCACGCACGCACGCACGCACGCACGCACGCACGCACGCACGCACGCACGCACGCACGCACGCACGCACGCAATCACACACACACACACACACACACACACACACACACACACACACACACACACACACACACACACACTCACACACACACACACACACAAACAAACACGCACAAACACACACACGGACACACACAATCACACACACAGAATCACACACACAATCACACACACAATCACACACACATTCACACACACACACAATTATATACACACACACATCATGTGTAAAGTTGTGTTCCCTTGTTTGGACCTCTCACATTCTTGGTTCTGTCTGTTTCTAACCAACCAAACAGATGTTCGATTGCTACATTCCTGGCTTCAAAGAGACGCTGGCGGGCTCCTTGTTGTAAATAGCAATCGTCAGCTTGGGTATAGAGCCAATCTCTGTGACTGCCGTGTGCTCTTTGATCGCCATGTGTCGGCTGGACGCCCCCATGGCGACCGTGGCCTCGAAGATCCTTGATGCCGTCGTGGGGTCGATGCCATGCGTCGCAAAAGCGAGGGGAGCTGCAACGAGGAAGCTTCCCAACCTTCGTCGCCCAGGGTATCTGAAGTTCAAACTATGGTGAACCCAAGCTGAGCTTTTGAACATACACAATGCCCGGGCAATTTGCTATTATTCTAAATGGAACAAGGAATCCACAACTAAGCATCCTTCGCTTGCTTTTCTTCTAGGCGGGCTTGCTATGATCTGGAAGACGATGTTTTCTTTTCGGTCTAGCATGAATCCCAAAAAGCATTCACCATTCAGGTTTCGAGTCTGCCAGCGCCAGCCCATTGTTTTGGCCGCTGGCTGCAAGGTCTGCGCTGGCTTCAAGGGGGCTTTCTTCTTTTTGGGTGAGACTTGCTTTGGTCAATCTCTGGGCGCGCAGCCCGGAGGAACCCTAGAAAAGCGCCCGGATATCTGCATTGGGTGACCCTTAGAATTTAAACTGTTGGTTTAGACCCGGGCCTAAGACAGTATACTTAGACACTGTGTAGAGTCTGTCATACGGCCCCTACAAGAGTACACCAAGTTTCGATCCTAGACATCTTGATAAGACCAGTGCTTAAACAAAATCCGTTTGTTTCCCTAGGGCTACATGGAATCGCTGGGTCAAACCGTTTGCAGGGAAGCAAGGGGCTTTGGACATGAACCTAGCGATTCCCTTCGAGGAAACCGCCCGTTTGCTTCGGAAGACAGAAGACTCGTAATATCTAAAGAAACAATGAATACCATACCAGCAACAAACATGGAAGTGCATAGACCCCTGTAGAAAGACTACATTCCTCTGGGCAAGGGGCTTTGTGCACTTCCATGTTAGTTAGTGTTGTTAGTGGAAGGATACATTAAACAGATTCTCCAGAACACAATGAAACATGCTCTCGCCTTCTCGAAAATCCATAAGAACCAACGATCTTTCTTTGCACCGGCCTCGTCAAAGGAGTTGATAGGGTTGGGCACAGGGTGTGCTTCGCCTCGGCGCCGAGTCCCCCAACTCGGGGAAAAAGTTTGGGCGTTGGTCCGCGGGCTTCGTCTTTGCGGCTTGCCAAGTGCGCTGAGGGCGCGCCGCTTTGAGGGGGAAACCAAGTCAAAAACGGACCGCGGGTGATCCTCAAATTGGCACAAAGTTCAACAAGATGCCTGGAAAGGGAGTTCATCATTAGACTCCACGTGGGGATTCGATTGAAAGCAACTGGAAAAGTAGCGGCCACAATCAAGCCCGGTGTTCTCCTAGAAAAACCTCAAGCTTTATCGAGGAAGCAGCAAATCTTGGCTGCCCAGCGGCCATCGGAAAGGGTGCCCTTTTGTCTTGGTTGAATTTCAAGGGATACTTACCTTTTAAACAAATGCATGCCACTGGGCAACTGGGATGAATCATTCCGGGAAGATGGTTTCAATTAAAGGATGGTAGCGTCCCTGAAATATGCATTTAAAAACAAACACTGTAAGTTGAGGCTCAATACAGCTGGCGACGGAAACAACTTGCTTGCCCAACCATGGAAAACCACAAAGAAGGAACCAGCCATGTCAACACACCATGTCTCACCCTCCTGTCCACTAACATGGAACGCACCAAATGGTCCCTTTTAAAGGAAAGTAGTGATCCAGGACCGCTTGGTCAGGTTCCATGTTAGACACCCGCTGGACTCTGGATTGAGGCCAATCCCGAATTCAGAGCAAGCAAGTTGGCCCTTCACAAGCAAAAAAGGTGCTAACAGGTTGTATTCAACTGTTCATAGTAAATGGAACAATACAAGCCCACCTTTGGCAAACAAACAGCACGCATAGGGAGTGATGGAACACACTAGCAGTACTACGCCACCGCTGTGTGGTGTTACGCGGCTTATGAAGCATATTTCTAGGCGTTGTTCAAAATATCAAATGCTTTATATCGGGTCACCCTACCACGTCAATAAGCCTCAGTGTTGCCAAATGAGTCCAAATAGGGCGTGAACGGTTCATGATAGTTCTGTAGTTCCTTGTTTCGCGGGGGATGATGTGATCGAATACCAAGCCTGCCATTTGCTAGTCCAGCTACTCCATTGGTGACGGGGTACTGGGCCCCGCGGGGCCCGCGACGTTGGGGTCCCAGCTCTCTCCATGCTCGATGGAGATGTTCGCGGCCCTGGAATCCCGGAGGGTTCTTCGAGGTCCACCGAGGGAAATCACGCCCTTTGAGTGAGTGAGTGAGTGAGCGAGCGAGCGAGTGAGTGAGTGGGTGGCTGGGAAGGGCGGGCGGGTGAAGGGAAAACCCGTTGATGCTTGTTTTTGGAGGTCAAAATTGGCGGTAAGAACACCATTGGGATGATCTTGCGTAAAGGATAGCAAGGAAAGCCATGTCCTGCGGGAAGATGACAGTGCAACTGGTGGAGCACTCTTGCATGGTCTTTGACTTGCAAGGAATGGCGAGTCAAGCAGCTTCTTTTGAGGGTGTTCAAGGAAGGACACGTGGTGTCCACATTTCCGAGACAAAGACGAGCGGAGCCGCAAAGTGGAAGGAAACGAGGAGTTTCAAAAAAAAACAACGGTTCTTGAAAAGTTGAAAAAGGAGTTGAAACCAACGGGTGTTCCAACCAACCAACCAAACGACCTGGTTCCAACCAGCCCAAAGACCTAGTTCCAACCAACGGGTATTTTCCACTTGAACATGGCGATGTCCGTTGGTTGGACGGGCTCACTCGTTGGCTGCCCAAGATCGAAAACGCTTTGCTGAACTGAAATCCCCGGAGGATTTGGCATCCATGGTGATTCCTAAGCAGTATCTTCGCGCGCCCCTCATGGCACAAGATGGCCCTAAGCTTCCTGGCTTGTCATGGCCTTGGTCGGTCTGTCAAACGCTAAGCCCGGCCCTGGCCTTCTTGAGGCAAAAACAAAAAGGCCGGCTTTCTTACTCTCAAAGCCTGCCCAAAGACATGACACACTTTTGGAGGAGACCCTAGAGGACGTCAAGGCCCGATGGATTTTGACCTCTTCACTTTTCCGGCCAACGGCAAACAAATGAGCCCCAAGATGATGGTTGCTATTTAGCACAGAGGCAAAAATCCGCTGGAAATTGTCGGAATCCCCGAGATGATCATGGTGAGTTCATTCTACCCTCGGTGGGCACTCAATAGGGCGTCTGGATACAAAAAAACAGTTGGATCCCCTTTGGACGGAACAGTGAGAACCGTTGGCTATTTAGCACCCAGCAAATATGTTGTCCAACTTGGGCGTTGGTCGACGTTTCCACACAGCAACCCTACTGAACATGATGGAAATTGGTCAAAAAGCCAGGCCTAGCAGCTTGGTCATTCAACCCTTAAACTAAGCTTTAATTATATACTACAAGGGCCTGAATGGCCACTGGGGTTGTGTGGTACTTCAAAACCAAGGATAGTCATCACTATAGGAGAAAGGGATTGTAACAAAAAACTAATAGTAATTGCTTGGCCACTTATATTGCATCATCATAATCAACCCGAAGCATCTTGAGCCCTCAAAAAGGCCCAATGCTTTGGGAATGGCAAAGATGCTTTGGATGGTGCCATGGACCAGGCGAGGGCAGTTCTACGCAACGACACCCCTCCCAGTGGGGCCAATCAAAAAATCACCATTGCCAGCGGATTTGGAGGATCTCCTTGCGAAGAACCTAGAATGAACTAAATAAATAGAATGGGGTGGGGTACATGAAATGTTGATCATAGGCATTGGTATTTGTATTTGCATTAGTATTAATATCATTGTCAGTATCATTATGACTATTACTGTTGCTATCATTGTTATCAGTGTTGTTGCTATGGTTATTGTTGTTGTCCTTGTCATTGTTATTGGCATCATCATTGTTATTATCATCAGTCATGGTACTGTTACTACCGTTGACATTCTCGTTTATAGCTGCTCTCATTCGTTTCTCACATCAACTTATGAGTTCTCCTCCCAAATGCCCGGGGGAACCGGTCCTCCGGATCTCCTGCGCTTCCTCGTCGGAGCGCTGTGTGGCCAGCACGTTCGCGAAGCCCTGACTTTGCTCGTATTGAGGTTGCCGCGTTGGAAGCTTCAAGGGATGGCCAAGACGCTAAGAAGGGACGGAGCCTAAGGGGATCCACTTACTTGGGGCCACCTTGGGGATCCACTTGGAACCATCAAGGGATTAGACCGGGTCAACTTGAGAAGACAGAACTCCAAGGGATTAGACTGGGTCAAGGGGATCTACTTGGGATCACAGAATATGCGGATGCTTAAAGAGCAACCCTTGTGCTTTTTCCACCATGCCACGAACAAAGGGTGTATATATATATATATACAACTCACTTCGTGAATGGAAAACGGCAAACAACGTCTGAACTTCTTGATACTACAATGGTCATCCTTAAAGGCATAAAGTCCATGAACTCAAGAAGTGAGGCCCCATTCTTGACCATTCCGCACCGCAGAATTCCATGTAGGTAATATCATATATTATATGATATATGTACCAACACTGTACTCATTTCAAGGGTACATGCGGGTATATATTGGATACATGGTGTTTGGGATTGTCAAAGTCACCCCTCCCGCAAGATGGGGGTACACCACAAATCATATTTTCAGACTCTGATCCATGTTTAGTCTACCCGAAAATGCAAATCGTTTTGGAAGAGCCCCCAGCTAAGTGGTAGGCTAAAGGGGAAGCAACCAGTCAAATCAATGGCCCCAACCATTGTTAAAAGGGGCAGGTTACTTAGTAGGCGGCAACCCTGGTTTCAACCAACTGACCATGGTTATAAACCCCTTAAACAAGTTTCAACCGGGGATACTACCTACTTGCGTAGTAACTTCCAAGTAGTGAGAGCCATATCTGAAGTCTCCACGACCCTTAAATGTGGTCATGACCCTTGAGTGTGGTCCGGCCCTTCTTTTCTTTTTGAAAATTACTTCTTTACTCCACTTCATGCACACCCAGGATTGATAAACCGCTAAACCCCTAGCTGATCAACAAGACGTCCCATTTAATTGGGGCTCCTTCACGCTTTGAGGGAAAGACCCTTTGACTAACCCACCAGGCTGATTGATCCGGGGCGGACATGTGAGACGGCCCAAGCAGGCAACCCCAAAGACCACAAAATCCAGCGCTCGGGCTCAACAAATAACAGCCTTGTTCCAAAAAACACAAATCCGTGGCCAAATGGGTGGGTCAGGTCCAATGCTCCAAATCCATTGATCGGACAAGCGGAAGCCTCGCCGTAGAAGTTCTTCTTCACTTCCACCATTGGCCTGCTCAGGTTTCCCCTCCCCCGCCCTCACCAAAGAGAAGTTTGGTCTTATGGGCCTTAGGGTGGGCGGGTCTGTGGGGGTGGACGCGACCCTGGCCCACAAGTTCCACTCTTGACTTCCACTTTGAGAAACATTCACGGGAAATATGTACCTGCATGTCCCTACCCCAAGTATCGTGCAATCCAACCTTGCAATTGGCATGGGTCGAGCCTTCAACAACTGATACCCGGCGGGCTGATGGAACTCAACCTTCCGAAGGGGTGGAATCGCCGTGGTACATCGGGTCTTGTAGCAGGGGGCCCTGTTTGGGATTGATCCCCCAAACCAGGGAAAAAGGGTGCCCCAAAACACCAGGGGTGCCAAAGGGTGAACATCTTCAAGGTACCACAATCCTTCTCAAGTTGTGGAGCCTCACCACGGGTGAAGCCCGGTGAGCTTGTCGAATTTGTCCAAACAAACGGCAAGGGGCGCTTCCAAGAAAAGGACTTAGGGCGCCCTTTGCTTGGCACTTCCAGGGAAACCCAAACGAAATCGTTGCCATTTGAGGATACTTTGCGAACCCCCCCAAGCCTTGGCCCACAAGAAGGGGGTGCCCAGATACTAAAACGTTCGGATGCTGTTCCGTATTTAGTCTACCCTAGGATACAAAACCGCTTTGGATCTGCCAGAAACGCGGGAAACAAGGATCCGTCAAACTAAAATCTGGCCGAATGCAGGCGAGCTGCGGGCGCGCGGCCCAGTCGACCTCCAGCAGCTTTCCCGCCTAAGCAGATCAGACGAATCCGACCAGCAACTTGTGCTGGTGCTGAGTAGGGAATGACCCAGGGTGTTGGGAATGAATAGGGATTCCCTTGAAGGAAACCATAGGGGTCATTCCCTCCTTCCCCAAACGGGGCTGAAAAGTCTGAACAAGACAAGCGAAGTCTGGCAATGGGAAAACAAACAATGATCTGTCCCATGGTTGCTTCCTTGAGGGGAAATACAAAATGATATGCTTTGGGAAAAACCATATGCTTTCTTGTAGCCCGTGTTGACTGAACCTTCAATATGTAAAGTACATTCAGCAGATGCGAGCCAGACTGAAGGTCTGATTTGATAAGAAATTCTACCCTCCTTACCTTAATCCGTTCCCCCTTTAATAAAGGTCTCCATAATAGTAAAAATGTGTGTCGGAAGTCCCAAATCCGGGAATACTACTTTTAGAATAGCCAATACTAAACCAATTCTAAAGTAGGCATTTTCTTGCCCGTACTCAAATCCAGCCCAATTAGGGGGACCCCTTTACTACGGTCGTACTACAAAGTTGCGACTTTCTAGCCGGAGCTCCAGAACCAGGGGACCCCTAATAAGAAAAGTTTGATGGATTTTTTCTTTTTAGGGGGGGGGAAGCGTTTTATTATTAGGGGGAAGGGATTCGTTGGCTACTGACTTGGCCAACCAAATCACTTACTTAGTGGAGGGTCTGTTGTGCTATGCGGGGTCCCTGATTCGAGAGTCCAAAACGGGCGCCTTGACAACTTCCGCCAAGCGGCATAGGCCTCCCGCGCGGTCCAGCCTGGCGATCTTTGGGTGGCATTGAGCAAGTCTGAGGCCAACACCCGGAAATCAAGAGGCCCAAACTTGCTGGCTCTCAGCGGGAAACAAGGGAATGACCCCTGTAAGCGCCCTATGGTTTGCTTTTAGAACTAAGCACCTTCCCCTATGGTTTCCTGTTAGGACGTTCCAAGGTTCATTCCCAAAACCCGGAAGGTCGTTCCCTACTGGCACCCGCAAGTACAGGCTCTTCCGCTGTCCGGAAGACGGTCTGTGGCCTCGTTTTGCGGTCTTTGAACTCCGCAGCCCTCGAGCGGTTTTGCCAAAGACGACTCCTTCCAGGCCTGTGGTAGTGGTCCCCCAGCTGTCCTGAGACAGGGAATCTGGGCAAATTGCCACTGAACAACTGGATACCAGAAAAAAACTAAGACGCAACGGGGAAAACGAGCATCGAGGCCAAGAAATACGGAATCCCCCAAGCAGAAGATTCAGGGTCGGGTCGCAAACTGAGAGCTCGCTATTTTAGGGTTCTCGGTGTTCAATCGAACGTCCCTGAGGCTCAAAGTCCTCTGGGTCACAACTCCGCTGCCTGTTGCCAACAATGAAGAGAACGCAAGCCCAAACGAAAACCCGATCGAACCGCCAAAACTACACAAGTGAGCAGCAAGAACCATACAAACTGAAAAGACGAAAAAAGGCTGGCATCCCCAACAGCAACCCCCCAAAACAAAACACAAATGGCCTCTGTTTGGACCCGTTTCTGTGCTGCCTGCACGTGCCGATGTTTAAAGGAGATACCAAAAGCCAACAACGAGCCGTAATTTCAACAGTCCCCTTGTGGGACGCTTTAAAACCACAGTTAGTCATGTTCTAGGCTCTGGCAAGCACCCACAAAAACTACAAAGGGTGAGGCCTCGGGGGCCTGGCGACCAAAATGAATTGATTTTGGTTCTAGGATGGTTGTACAGGTTTATATACGTAGCTCAGCAAAACCCGTTCTAAAACGAGGTGGTAGAGCCACCGGCAAAAATAGCCAACATCAATTGGGTTTGGGCGCTCATCATGTCAAGTAGGACTGTACAATCATCAATCCCCCTAAGGAAATGATACAGTATTCTCCGGGGGGCCTTCTGACTAGTAGGGTCCTTTGGATTAATCCAATGACAACATTGGCTTGCGGCCTCAAAGGACCAACCAACCACATCGCAGTTCAGGCAATGCGGGAGCTCCAGTTTCCTTTTTGTGGGGGTCAAAATGGCGGACCCCTTGCCTTTTCAAAGGGAAACCAAAAAAAGGGCGTTGCCATTTTAGGGAAGCCCTTTCAGAACCACCTGTTTCCGGCAACCCTGCGATGCCGAAGCGACCAGCGGGGGTCCTTCTTGGCGTTACTCCAAGAGTTGTCCTGGCCGTCCTGGAGCACATTGGACGGCAAATTGGGCCACTGTGAACAAGGTCGGCCCATGCAAACACGTGTTTAATCAACCCCTTTTGCCTTGCCCGGTAAAAACCGGCTAAGGCGGAAGAGATGAAAGTTTCAGGACGTGGTTGCAGAAAACCAGCTTGGCAATACGACAGTGGGAGTCTCGTCCCCACGACTACTATGTCACGTAAAAATCCCCTAGTATCACAGAATGTGGTGACCTAACATGCAACTCATTTTCATAGGATCGGGGCCAGCCTGTTTAAACACGTGTGAACCACACTTGTTGAAACAAGTTCTTGAGGCTGGTTACATGCTTTCCAACCTTGGCGAACAGCCTGCATCAACAATGTGATTTTGCTTGGGCTGCATACTTCCCTCAGCTTGTCCCGTGACTGAGGCCTTGCCAAAGGAACACCATTACGAGCGCTGGAGAGGGGGGCACATTGCCCTCCTCAGACCTACGCGCGCACGGTCTGCAAATTCATTCTGGGAGAATCTAGCCCCCAAAAGGTGAGAACTCCCAGTTAGATTGGCTAGGGAGGGGAATGGTTCCTTTCATAACTTTGGCTGCCGCTGTCAGAAAACTGCCACTCTCGTCAGGCATCTGCGGGCCACGCTTGTGGGGATGCAGCAGCAAGGTCGGCTTGACGAGCGATGCTCGCAGCTTCCACTGACGTTCAGGCATCTTGCAAGCGCTGAGTTTCCGCAACATGCGCACCAAGCTGGCACGCATCGATGGGCGTTCGTCATGCGCTGATGGCCTTGCAGCTCTCATGGCAGGGTCTTCACCACACTTTGGTCGCCTTTCCTAAAGCTGATCCCGCCTCACAAGGAAAGCCGCAAACGCCGCAAACCACACACGAGGGCGCTCCCAAATAGAATCGATGCCCCAGCCAGTCGCGGCGCCTCGGGCGCAGCACATACAAAACAAACAATGCGGAAAGCAGTGGCGAAGTTCAGCCTAACGTCCTTCAGTGACTGATCTGTGATGCACCATGCGTCGAGCTGATCACTCAGAAAGCCTAAACCCTTTAGTCATGGCTACTGGAGCCTGGAGCCTGAAAGAAACGGGCCGAGTGTGGTAAGATGGCCGCCAACTAGGCGAAAATCGTCCTTTGTTTGGTAGCTGCCAGTGCTGGGGTGTGGGGGTGTGTAGGGCCCCTAGTTTTCCCACGATCCAAGATGTTGGGAGATCGGAGTCGCAATGGCCCACAGGCCGGGTGGTGTTTTGTTTTTGCCTCTCCTTCTTTTTTGGGAGGGGGGGGGTCATCAAAAGGCAAAGGCCGTGGGAACCGCGGCGGCAGCCCTTGCCCGCCTGACGGCCATAGGAACCCCATGGGTCCTGGCCGAGTCAAACACGCGCAACAGGCATCGAGGGGGGGCCCTGAAAAAGCAAAGGATCGTCCGTTTGACGGTCATTTGGCCATGGGTCCAAATCCAGATCGTACCCCCAGTGAACATCCCAATCCCCACTAAAATAGGTTCTAAAATGGGTGGTGCATCTACCCCAAAATTGGATCCCATCAATTTTGACCCACAGCCATTAGTTGCCCTCTTGGTGCTGCTGGCGAACCTTTCTTCGTCTTTGACTTCCAGGGATAGGGCTTCCATATGTTCCTACTTAGACATCACCGGCGCCAGAACTAGCCCCACCTTGAAACCTTTCAGGCACCCATTCTAAAGGCAATCCGCTTGTCAAGTTGGGGAAGCAATGCTGCAGCATATTGCCCAAGTTGTCTTTCATTGCTTTTTGGGGCCCTCTCCTCCTCCCCCTTTGTTATGAGCCCCCAGGGTGGGTGATGTAGTTCTTCCCTTTCGGCTTCGAAAGGGTCCAACAACAGATTGGGCCGCAGGACCTTGTAGCAGGAAACGGGAAGCCTGGGGGGTCCTGTACGAGCTATGATTGGGAATCTCTGCTTTCTCTTGCATAAATCAACACAAATCCAGCACTTTCGGCTGGGGGAGTGTGGTTTTGCACCAGCGGTGGCTGGGGCAATCAACAAGCCATCTAACGTCTCACATTCATGATATAATAATCCTGCTAGCAAAATGGTTTGATAATTGACCCTTGTCCTTGTGTGTGTGTGTGTTGTTTCTAATTGTCTCCACCATGCCAGCATTGATTCACAAGCCACACACGCACACACCAAAATAAGGATGTTTAAGAGTTGTGTGAGCAAAACTATCCACATGCCACATACCTCTACTGCTTTAAGGTGCTCAACATTCCCGGCTTTCCAAACTCAGACATTTTCGACTCTACCAACCCTTAACACCTGGCCTTTTTTCCGGCGTTCGTTTGTTTTCTCCTTCAACCAGCAGGCAACTGGCCACAGACGATGTTCATGTGCGAGCAAAATGTTTAGTAAACACCAGAATAACCATCAACCAACCAAAGTTGTAAGGCAAACCTTTGGTTCGCAACATTGCCCATAACACAGGTTCTTACTGGTCAAAGCGCAAGATTTGCGTGTTTGCTTTCACATAGACCCCCCCAAAAAAAACAAAGTTGGGTTCCCTTCAAAATCACCAGACAAAGGGCACCCGAGCCGCTGAAAGGCCGGGCAACTGCTCCGCCTCCTGCCCGTCGTTCTTGGACCAGCTGTCCTGCAAAGGCGCGCAGGAAAGGACCCTACAAACCACCCCCAATGACAAAACAATTGCGCAGACTAATTCGCTTGCAACCGCAAAAGCCATGGTTGTTAGACATGTTCCTTTTCTGGGACCCCCATTTTCTACTTCAAGAGAAGCACTGCTACCCTTGACCCTGACAAGGGTCAGACACCGTCCGCAAAGACCAGGAACCGACAAGGCCTAATTTAAAGTGGTTGCAAACGCTTAAATGGGATTTATTGGGTTGATTACGCAAACAAACGCGGCCAAGCTATGACATTGAGTCCCCAACCCTTTCGGGGGTCTTTGGGGGCGTCTGTAGGGTCCCCGATTGAAAAGAATACTGGCACAACAACGGCACGCACCTGGAGTTCTCCTTTGGCTTACAGCAAAACAGGGGGTCAAGAAAGACTCATGTTGTCAAGTAAGATTTCTGCGGGAAATGAAGGAAGATGAAGCAAGGAAACCCAAAAGGATTCGAAAGGGACGTGTGAGCTAAGACTATCATGTTTGGATTCCAGATTCTCCCCAAGGGGCTTCCCTTTTGGGGTATGGCAATTTCCGATTCGGTGTTCGTTTTGGCATCCGTTTGAACCAATTCCAAGAAGGGTACCCTCTGAACAAAATGAAGTCCACGTGAATTCGATAGGAGGCGTGGCGATCCCCTCCCCACGTCCCAGGCTTGAGACGACCCCACCCCCCCTGTCCTCCTGCCGGTCATTTCTGGACCAGCTATTGTCCTTCACATGGCAACTGAGTCACAACCAAAACCTCCAAGGGGTCGACCCAAAATCTCGAAATCCGCAGAAAAGACTTGCAAGGGCTGATATTCGGACGGATTTTCGGGTACGGAGTTTCCCTTGCTAACCTTCATATCCGGGTTTCAACTGTCGAAAATTGATGGTCAAAGCTGCAGGCTGTGCGCAAATCCAATATGATGGAAATGAATCCCAAAGTAAATAATACCCACCACGGAGTCTCTGGTTCTAATGCACAAAGTCTTTAAGACGTCCTTCCTTCATTTACTGAGAATGACCTTCCCAAGAGGAAACCACCTGTGCTACGAATAGCCCACTCACAGAATTGTGTTTTCTCCCTATCTCTCTCCCTCTCTCTCTCGCTCTCTCTCTCTCTCTCTCGCTCTCTCTCTCTCTCTCGCTCTCTCTCTCTCTCTCTATGTTTCTCTCGCTCTCTCGCGCGCTGTATGTCTCGCAATTGCCCCTGCTCGATTCCATGGTCGCTGTTGTCTGAATGTCGTTAAAATCAATCTATGATGCCGTGCACTTCGCCGAATTGGGGACCCCCGTCAAGAATTTTCGGCCAAGGGAGGCAACATGTGTTGTTTGCTTGCTTGCTTGCTTGCTTGCTTGCTTGCTTGCTTGCTTGCTTGCTTGCTTGCTTGCTTGCTTGCTTGCTTGCTTGCTTGCTTGCTTGCTTGCTTGCTTGCTTGCTTGCTTGCTTGCTTGCTTGCTTGCTTGCTTGCTTGCTTGCTTGCTTGCTTGCTTGCTTGCTTGCTTGCTTGCTTGCTTGCTTGCTTGCTTGCTTGCTCGTTCGTTCGTTCGTTCGTTCGTTCGTTCGTTCGTTCGTTCGTTCGTTCGTTCGTTCGTTCGTTCGTTCGTTCGTTCGTTCGTTCGTTTGTTTGGGGGGCGGGTCCCGAACAAATCCAGCCTTAACTTTGTGGTTCTTGCCAAAACGGGCTCCAGGCCTCTACACTTCAGGGAATAAGTTCCTGACGGCTGTTTCAAAAGGGGATACAATCAAAGCACGCTTTCTTGTGCCCAAAGGTTCGATCCAAATACAGGAAACTGAACATCGCGGGTCTTTAGCTGCGGTAAATCAACTTGCCCGAGAGGCAAGCAAAACTCGGGATTCACCAAAACTCCCATAATATGTCCCCAACATCACTCCAAAGGAAACTCAAACCGTGGCCTTTCCGAAAGGTTTGACTTGAACAGGGCCCCTGGACCAGCTGTGGCCCTGGCCTCTTGCCGATCGTTCCTGGACCAGCTATCCTGCGCCAGATGAAATTGCTGCCGAGAGCCTTGGGGTAGCCGTTCCTTACCAAGGAAAAGGGGTTTCCTCGTAAAAAGCACAACACCCAACCCATTTTGCGCGGCATGCCATTTAAGGGTGTGTCTCAAAATCAGGAAACCTTTTGGGAGGGTTTTCCCTTTTGACTTCCCCTTGCCGGTTTCCTTGCAAAAAAGACACAGCCATCTGAACTCGCCTCCCATTTGCCAGATGGCTTTCCAGTCCCGCATCCAGTCCTGTGCCTTGCCCCAGCGATCCTGGGATCCATCCTGCGACTGGCCCAACCCCGAGCTGATGGCTCGTTTCTGACTGGTTCTCAGAATGGCTCAGACTGGTTCCGGGGAATGGGAACCTGTTTCCTGGTTGATGTATAGGGAGATGTCCCGATTAAGCAGGTGAGTTCTAGGCCGCTTCACTTCTGGGGTACACCAAAAAACATATGTACAGATTCTGCGTCACATTTAGTTTATCCTGAGATATATCTTCTGAGACACCAGAGGGGTGAGACTATCATCTACAATTTATGGCACTATCAGTTGCTAAATCGCTGTTTCTTGGGGATTCCATCGGCATCACCGAGCCACGGGCAGAATGTGACCTGCGGTCCTTGTCCCATCCGCCTTGGTCTTGCGACCATCTGTTGTCCTGCCAATCAAACTTTGACTTTTCACCCCCCCCCCCCCTGAGTTGACGACAAGTTGGACCGTTGGCCCCGTCAAGAGAGAAGGTTGGCCCCTTCAAGAGAGAAGGTTGGCCCCTTCAAGAGAGAAGGTTGGCCCCTTCAAGAGAGATGTCTATTCCTGCAAATGTCAAGACAACCACTATAACCAGTAGAGGCCTTCAGGGACCGTATCGCCCTCCTTTGGGATTTGGAGCCAACAGGCCTTAGCAAGGCCAAATAAGATCCTACCGCAAACCAGTTGATGCATCCCCGTTTCAGACCGCGTGAAATCAAGCAGCATGCAAACTCAATGGCCTCCCCCTTGGATTCGGCGTTTGTGGATCCACCCGTGTGGGATACTGAACGAGTACTGAGAAATGACAAAGCAAGGACCTACGGGCAGAACATGGAATCCACAAAAAAGCCATCCGAACCGGTTCCTGATGCTTGGCATCTTCCAGACTGAAAAGAACTCACTTTGCCCAGTCCTCTTGCCGATCACTTCTGGACCAGCTGTCCTGCAGGATGCGCTTTAACAAAGCGTTGCGTTGTGGGAGGACACTACCCGTGTGTGTTAGTGCTGTTCGTCCATGTGCTAGGCATGGCCTCGCTGACATAGGGTCTCGCTTCATGGATCGCTCCGCACCCGAGCGATGGGAGCGTTCGAAAAGGGCGGGTGAATCATAGCAGTTCAAATGGCCGCCAAGAAATGAACTGAAACATGAACTGCTGCCTTCTGATAATTGAGCCATAGCTAAATCTCCGGCAACGAATAGGGGGTTCATGCAAAGGGCGCGTGGGTAAATACTATCCAAAAATAATTACACATCTAGAAGACAACCACGATTCCTTCAAGGACCCTGCAAGCCCGCCAAGGGCCTGATCTTATTTGGTCTTGCTTGGCCGCAAGTGTATTCCATAACCCTGGTGAGATCCATCTAAGGAGCTCCATGAATTGTGGTTTGGGGGATAACAGACTCTGTGTTCAACGCCCCACGCACCTGGCTGTTGTTCCAAGAGTTCCTTGGTACCTTCTGAGGAGTTTCAGTGCTTGGACCCATTGGGTTGGTTGGTCGATGTCAAAGGGGTCGTGAAAACCTTTGGAAACCATGGACATTTGGCCACAACTCAGGTGGCTTGTACTAGTCGACTCTGCCTTGTTTGGCCCCATTCAGACGCATTTGGCCTTTGCCTCAAAAAAGGCCAATCGACCTCCTCACTGTGCGCAGGGGTCCTTGGAGGGGTAGGGTCCCTGATGTGGTAGGAGCTAAGTAAATCCGCACATAACCACATCGGTCCTTGCCATAGGAGTCCTTCTGATAGGAGTCCTTCTGGTAGGAGTCCTTCTGATACGAACCCCAAGGGTCCTCCTGGGCAGGTCGAGATCAAACGCCGCAAGCGGGACTTAAGGATTGTCTTCAGACTTCAGTATCCATCTAATATGGTGTCCGCCCACCCCCCAGGCGAAGTGAGGTTGGCAATCATCGGAAAAGCGAGGTTTCCTCTCAAGAAAATGCGGAGCAGGAGCCCTGGTTGGTCCATTTGAATGTGGCTCTTTTTTTGGAGTTGGTGCACGGTTTCAAAGCGGAATCCCTGTGAGGGACCCATTGCGAGTAAGTTTGAGTTTGCGATCTGTCCGTGGACCTTGAAAATGGCCTTCAAACTTGGATATTGCCCCAAACTTGTGCATTTTGAGGGCACCTTGAGGGACCAGGTACTTGACGAAAGCTGGGAAGTACCTAAGAAAGCGCCGTGTCTCCCTTGTTTCTAGTTGGGAGGTTTGGCCATCTGGTCTTTAAAACCATCTCCCCCAATTTTCCCTAGCAAGCTTTGCGTCTTTGAGCTAGGCTTGGAGAGGGTTCCAGGGGTTCCGGAGCTGTTGGGTCTTGGAGCTCAGGACCAGGCCTGGGCGGAGTTTGAAGGCGCCTGGTCAGGGAAACCGAAAGGAGGTTGTCGCCATACCCCTACAGGGTCGTTCATGAGTTGTCTACCTGGCTGGCGCACCGAAACCTCCCGTTTGCTCTTCTCAAAGGTTGGTTAAAATAACGGGAACCCCTGAATAATCAACCCCAGCTTGTCAATGGGGGTGGTGTCCTGAGAGTTTTCTGAGAGCCCGAGATCTCTGCATCCCTCGCGAGCCTTCACTTCTCGCTGGCGGCCCCATGAGTCCTGGAGGTTCTGGCAGCCCCGCACTTCTAGATAGGGGTGCGTCTTTTGGGGGAACGCCCATGGTGGGTTTTCCTTGTGTTCCTGTAAAACCACAAAAAAGTTCGGTGTCCCAAGAAAAGACAAGCCATCCATGCTATGGAAGCTCCCAAAATTGGCATGGCGACGCGTAAAGTCAGGAAAACCTAGCGGGTCCATGTAGGGCCAATTGGGTCATTTGGAATGGGAAAAATCCAGCTGAGTTCTACCCAGGTCCCATACCAGGTAAACTCCAGCAGAGCTGGAGGGGGAAGTTTCTAAAAAGGACATGCCCGCACCTTTTTGGTCGACCTATCTATCTATCTGTCTGTCTGTCTGCATATCTATCACCTGACCTTGCGAAGTGCTGCGCCTGCACGAAATCTATACTCCATCTTGCGAAAGTGTTGCACCTGCCACGAAATCTGCACTTGACCTTGCATGGCTGCCAAATGCTGCGGCTGCCACGAATCTGCACCTCAGGTTGCCAAAGTGCTGCGCCTGCCACGCGATTTGCACCTCCGAATGGGGGAACTTTCCGAGCCCGTGGCAAGACCGTGGTGACCCCGTGCGCAAAACAGGGCTACCCTTCGCGTGTTTCGCATGTGTGTACCGCCACTTTTCGTATTACGAAAGCTTTCTAACTGAACTCCCTTTGATCCAATTGTCCAAGGTAAACCCTGAAGGCTTAAAGGGTCTGGAGGGCCCCCCTCGAGTGCCTGTTGAACCTTTGCTTTGACCGGATATGGATCATGCAGAACACTAAGTATGTTGGAATCATCTACAGAATCCTTGAGGAGGTACTTTAACACCTTTAACCCCCATTCCACCCTCCCAGAAAAAAAAGGAACGTCCCTTTTTACAACAATAATGCCATCCTGGGCCCGAACCCCGCCCTCCTGACGATCGTCGCGGCTTTGTCCCCAAGCATCCTGGCAAGTGCTTCGACCCGCTCGGTCGAGTGGCGATATATGCCCTTCCTTTCGACCCAAAGAAAGGACCCCAAAGTATAGTGGGTAACAATCAGTTGCCATTCAACCAATACAGTAATCACACATTTGGAGATTTCCCAACAAACATTGGGCAACAAAAGAGGGCCAAATCCATTCGTTTAACATTGCCATGGAACATCCTACATTGTCGTGAATCTGTAACTTGTTTATATACACTAATTCCAAAGCGAGGGATCGCCAAGTAAGAGATCCTCAATGGAACCTTCCCAAACAAAACAAATAACGTCCCGTTGGCTGGACTCCGTAACTCTGGACAAACATTCAGCCTCGCTGACGTTTGATAGAGTGCAACCTGCCTGTGAGTCGAATTGTGATGAAGTTTGTTTCTGTTCGCTGCCCAGGCCTGCGGCCGATGCTTGCTTTCTCCGCAGTTTGATCAGCAGTATTCAACGCTTTCCTTGACGCGTGTTGCACAGTCGCTCACCAACGCAACTCTTGAGCCACCTCTTGCGCCTGAGACTCCACTTTCTAATCCCATTGACCAAGTGTATTGTGCAGACTTTTGATGGGGCGAAAACGCCGCCGTCCTGACGATCGTCGCGGCTGCTGCTGAATCTACTCCATGAGTTGTCCTGGCTCAAGGATCAGGGACTGCACCACCGCACCGGGACCCCAAAGACCCGCCCAGACCCGAGCAATTGCCATTTGCCTAATGAGGCTCATCGATCCCTCAACTGTTGGGGGGTCTTAGGGGGACAGGCAGCTTCAAATGGCCCATGGACTGATGTGAGCATGTGGCTCTGGAGCACCTGCCAAGCCGAATGGCTAAACCACAAGGGTGGATTGGTCTTAGGTCCACTTGTCTACCTGACCAAATGTCTACCATTGTATACCATTGTGAGGTTCGAATCGGAGCACCGGAGCACCCCTGTAACTGACCTGAGAGTGATCCTTTGCCAACTATTGGGTCATCGTATTGGAAGGTTCATCGGTGAGGAGCCTTGACTAGTATTCAGCTGTCTCCAAAGGTCCCCCACCCAAATGTGAACAAATGTGGGGGGGGAATAAGGCAGAAGCAATGGACTTCTGCGAGCAAAGCCTCACCTGAGTCACAATCAAACCTGGTACTGAAGGGGTCTACCGAAAGTCCGCGAAGAACCAGAAGGGCGAAAAAACCATACCGGTTTTTATGGCTGGGAGTCTCCCTTGCTTGCCTTCACCCAGGTTTTGATTGTGGCGCCTGGGCAAAAGGGCGCTGCTCGCTCTGGAGCAACTAATAATAGGGATTTGCTCAATTGGGGACAGGGGGCATGGAAGGGCCAACAAAAATGAGTGGCAGTGTCTGGCTTCCCCTTGATGAAACAAAGCGACAACCTCAAAGAAGACACCAGCTAACTATGCATAGGTTGGCCATTGCTGAGGGGGCGCTGGGCAATATAGTTGTGCCTATCCACCAAAGGGAATCACACAGTTCGGTTGTTCCAAAAGCAGGGTCACACTGGTCAAACAAAAACCCACCGTGAGGGGGCTCAACAAGAGTTGCCAGCGGAGATATTTGGGTATGGGACACAATTAACCACAAGGAGACCGCAGGTTTTAGTCCATGATTCCATTTACCAGGGTTCGATTTTGGGGTTTCCCTCTTTTTGACGCACACCCATTTCCCACCGAACAAGAAAGCCCCCGGAAGCTACCGGCTGAGCATTCGCAAGGCTGCTTGTCATGGGATTGCGAGGGAATCCTCCCGGACCCCGGACCCCCTGCTCCACGGCCACAGTTTTGACCGGTTCGTTTGAAATTCCAAGCTGAATCAAGGCAGACTAGGGTGCTCCTCCCAAGTGTCAAGCATCCCCTTTTGAAACGAGACCCCCCCTGCTTCCATGAAGCAATAAAGGTTCATTCACCCTGGGCTCCCTTGATGTGGCCGCTAGAAAGACGGTATGGTGACTTCGGGATTCACGCCTCAATTGGCCATGCTTCAAGTGTGATGACAAATCAATCTGGTAAATCATGGTGCGTCACCAACTTGAAATACGCAACCCGCCCAAAGGGAACCTTCAACCTTGACAGCAATGGATAACCCAAAGCCAAGTGCCGGGTGGTTCATCCGAAATGAATGCAGAATGTGGATGGTTCGGTTTACGATGCTACGCCCCATGCCACGCACAGTGTCGTCCTTTGGTGCACCCGTTTATGTGGCTGATGCCTGGAAACCTCCCTTTTTGATCGCTTGCTCGTTGTTTTGTGATCAAATATACAACCCCTGCTCAGTTGCCAGTTCCCAAAACTGGCTAACTGGAACTCGTTCTCCTGTGGCTTTTGGGGGGGGTTGAATGGATCTCAGCTGACTCACAAGTGACTGCCCAGCATCATCCATCCTTTGGCCAACACGGCGACCATGTTGGGCTCCATAGTTCCCAGAGGGTCCCTTCCCCTTTAAGGACGGTTTCTTGGAAGTTCAAAGAAGAGACCCACCCTTCAAGGGTTCCAGTTGTTCAGGGACTTTTGGGCTCACCCCGAATCCATGTCCGGACTAATACAAGAACGATCCATGGTCCTGACGATCATCGCAGCTGTTCTTGTATCCGCCCCAGACATCCTCGGCATGTGTGGAGTGGTCCCTGGACCACAACCATGGCCTTTTAAGACTCAAAAATGTGTTTTGGCTTCGTAATTCTCTCTCCCTCTCAGTGGCTACAAGAATACAAGTTAATATATATATATATATATATATATATATGTATACATACACATGTATGCATCTTTAATACCATGTTCATCTAAAAAACATACCTGGGCGTCCCCCAATTGATTTAGTTTATCTTGTAGGTATTTCCAACTAGTCCCCAAAGGTGCACCAGGACCATCCTACTGGCAAAATCCACGCCATATTTCATCCATTATTTAAGTGCTAAATAGGGGTCTGGAGAAGTAACAATCACCCATCCCTGTTTTATCTGTTGAATGGTAGACCAGTTGTGTAATGGTCTGTTGATGGCAATAGCCCTTTCTGTGATACCAAAGCGGGATCCGAATCCACTTTGTTACAGCGGATTTTCTTGGCACCAAAAAGAAAGTGGCCTGCCCGAACAAAAACGGGTTTTCAAACCCGCCAGGCTCCTTGATAGGATGGGTCAACATATCTTAGGTATTAAGGCATCTAAGAGGCTCCAGGCGTGGCTCAAACTGATGCTTGACATGGCCACGAGCTCAACACAAACAGACCGCTCAAAAAATTGGAAACTGGCCGGGTCTCCACCAGCCACGCCTTAGGGGTTTCCCTGCTTTGGGGACCCTTCGATTCTCAGGAAACACCCCTATAATAATCCATTCTTCTGATTTATCCGGGGTCGACCTGGTTCAAGGCTACTGTCCTAGTCCCCTTACATATATATATATATAGAAAAAAATATACATATATAATATATATATATATATGCGGCCACAACCCCTGCATGACCTACCCTGTTCTTTCAAACAGTTCTTGGTCATATATACAAATACATATATATATATATATATACACACATGTGGCATATCTCGCCTCCACATCTCCAAATGCCCACCAATCAAACGCGTGTCCTTGTCGTTGCGGCTTCTGCTCCACGGATCGTTCTCCTGCACAAGAAGAATCTCATCCAAATACATATATACATATATGTATATTATGGTACCCCCCTCCCCCCCCCAAAAAAAAAAAAAAACACCCCAAGAGAATTTGACGGATCTTGAATCTTGGATCCAGTATAGAGCCCCATGCTGGATTCAAGATTCAAGAACTAGTCTCCTGGGAATCTTGAATCTTGAATCTTAGATCAGAAAGCGCTTGCAAGCGGTTTGAAGCGTCTGCTTTCAGTCATTCCTGTTTAATTGTGCACCTTATTATTATTTTGGACTTGTGTGCGGTAAATACAGTTAATAGTTCAGCATATGGGCATTGGATAATTGATTCAATGGAAAATGATTAACCTTTGGATGTAAAAAGAAACACTGTAAATACCAGTGGGTTGCATGTGTCTTAGCAGTTTTTGCGCAGTTTTAGCGGACAGCGTGGCGTTGGTCAAGGCATATAAGATGTTAGCAGATGTGAGCTGACAGACGAAGGGTGTTTGCAGATGAAGTGAGATGAGAGATGGAAAATAAGCAGCAGGTATTGGCACAGGTGTTTAAGTTGATAGACAAACAGGATTTGCACATTAGTTGAGATGAGAAATCGAAGATGTGTAGGCGAAGCAGAAGAGGTATTGTTTGCTCTATTCTTGATACCCTTGCGCCGGTACTCTCACAGATATGTTTTACAGCCAACTGAATGGCGCTAACATTAGTGATGAAGACTATGAAAAAGCAAGATCAATATCGCCACATGTTTAACAGTAACACATGAGAGAATGAAATATTATGGATTGGACCCTGTGAATTCTAACACTTTGCCCAACTTCGCTTTTACACTGACCTAACTTTGCTTATGATGCTATGTTCAAAGTAACTTGTGTTGAGATACATTTAGTTTATGACTCGAAGATGTATGAAATGATTGAAAAGGGATCAAAACGAGGAGTCCCACAAACATTGCGCAGAACGTCGAAGCAATACTATTTAATTGGTTGGTAAAGTCTTAATGAATCATTTGCACAAGTCTGCCGAAATTGTAAAATGGGCCCACTTCTGGTGGCATCCATCTAAAATGACCTAACTTCCCTTGCATAAGCAGCAGACGCGGGTTTTGGAGGGGGGTTGCATATATATATATATATATATACATATATCTACATATATATATATATATGGTAGTGTGTATATGTATATCTACATATATATGTATATGTATGACCGTAGTTTTAGGCTTGTGGATGGTACATCAAGTTTTTTTGCAGTGTTCGTCTGAAAGCCCTGGCAACACTAAAAACATAGGAGGGCTAACGACTTCTCAAAAAGTGAATAAAGTCCGGGAACGCAAGGAGTGAGGTTTCAAGCGTGGCGCATGCCTTGCCCTTCGCCCTTTCGCCCTCTCCTTGTCGTTGCGACCTCTGCTCCACGGATCCTGCTCCTGGCAAGTATCATCCCGCACCGAATTTGGGTGACACACGTGGAAAAGAGCCCTTACTGTGATACCGGAGTAGGACTCCCATGACGACATGACCACGTGATCAAACTAAAACTTGGTATTACAGAACATGGCAATAAAACCCTATGTTCCACATCCATGAACTTGGTTGTTCAACATGAAGGGATCCACAACCCTAATCCACAATGCGTAGAGGGACATCCTATTTCCAAAAAGTCGCAAGTCCTCCTTGCCAGGGAAGATAACTCACGCTGGGGATAGTGAAGGCTACCCTAAGTTACGCTTCTTTTTTGCACCCATACTGCGATTTTGAATGGACCTCATATGGTTCGCCTTGGCTTGTTAGGGCCTGCCCCTTTGCGATTCTGTTCCCAAGGGTCCTTCTCAGGCTTTGAACCCCTTTGAACCCCCAGACAAATTGTTCTCAAAGGTCTCTGAGTGTGAAAGTACGCGCAAAACACACAGCCGTTTCCCTAACGAGAACCCCTGGCATCTACATGAACTAAGGATTTCAGTGAAAGACCACCAAAGTGACCCAAGTGGTTTGGCACGGGTGCGGTCACGTGAGTTGTTGGAAGGTGTGGGGGTGACAAATACCACTTAGAACTTAGAACAGAGGACTGGAGCACACAACACCTTCCAACAAGTCGCGGCGAAATGCCCTTCAGCGGGTTTACTTTGTGTCGAACACCTGCGTCGCAAAGTCGGCCCGTTAGGGCCAAACTCTTGCGGAGCTTCCTGGGATGCACACTTCTGATCTCTGGCTTACCTGTGCGAGAAGCGCCAGATAGCGAACAGGGAGTCTGGGTCGGCTGACTTCTGACCCATATGATCCAGGTTTCAACTGCGTTAATCCGTGCAGGGGTGCCAGACGGGGTGATAAACCCTTTCCAGACTTGCGGCAAGCAACCGCTGGGGGGTTGAGGTCCTGGTCTTTGGGGGGTAGGAGTTCTGGAAAAGTTTCCCAGCATCTACAGGCTCACACCTGGCAAGAGAAAACCGACACAATGTGCGAGAAGGCTTGACTTTTCAGCCCCCTTTCTTTGGCTCAGGACCCCTTTGGAAGGCCAATATTTTTTGGACGGGTTTCCCGTGAAGATTCGTTCATCAGAAACTAAGGTCGTACATTCCCCTTTAAGTATAGGTAGGGCTCCAAAAAAGGACAACGATCTCTTGTGTGGGTCGTCCATGTTTGGGTCATCCACTGAATTGAACTGGTTAAACAACCAGTGTTCCCAACGATTAGAACCCTGGTTGCGCAAGTAAGTTTCCTTCCCTTCTTTGCGCGAAATAAAATGCAAGCAGTTCAACATATGTCCTCATTCCGGTCCAGACTCAATTGGGTATGGGTCAAAATTACACCACCAGGGACCATGTTTCCATTTATCAGGGTTCCGTTTTGGGGCTTCCCTATTTGCGACCCACAGCCAATTGGTGCACCCCATGTAAAATCATATCACGCACGTCCGGACCAGGGACTCTTCTAGGGGTAACTTCCCCATTCTTTCCAGGGATCCTTCTTTCTAGACAACCACCCAAAACCCTGACGAAATCGCTGGTTTTTGAAAAGAACAGTGGCTGAAAAGATTCGGGAATCAACCCTTAGAACTCTGCTCAGGTCCTTCCAGTCATCCTTCCCGCTCTTCTTCCATGCGCCCCAAGGGTCCTCACCCAAACCGCCGCTGGCGAGAAGCATGCCATGCTTCTCGCCCCATGGGCGGTTGACTTTTTGAGACGGAAACGCCGGGTGGTTGTTTGCCAAAGGGACACCAAACAAGAAAACACAGAGTTTGGTTTCCCACCTTTTGAGCTACCCTTGTTGCGCAGTTTAAATGGGAACGCCAAACCGAACAGGTGGTTTGGAAGGAAAACCAAAAGTGAGCTTGCGCGGTACCCTGTTTTGTTGGTGGCTTTCAAGGGAAACCAAATGGAACCTCCACCGCTCACGTTTCCTTTTGAGACACGCGAACGGGTTTTGGAAACGACCGAGGACTCACACGAGAGAAGCACGATGGCTTACTTGCTTTGGCTGAGCTGCCCAAAGGACTGGCAAAAAGGGGCTAACCTTTCAGGGTTGCTTATGTTTCTTCTTTAGAAACTCGTTTTAACACTCGGCCACCGAACATGCACTGTTGGATCGGCGATGTTAAAACCCACCAAAGAGATGTATAGCGAATCCTGTTGTTTGGGGCCTTGCCTAAAAGAACCCCTACTCCCCTCCCAACTACGCACTCTTTTTTGTGGCAGATTTCGCAGAACATCATGGGATGCCTGGCGCGACTACCTGCGGTTTGGCAAGCCAACGCGCAGGAGAGGTGCTGGAGATGCAACTGCGCAGCAACGAATGGGGAAAGCTTCGGGTAGGCGGTTCAGGGTAGGCCGAAGGCGAGTTTGGGTTGGGTGACAAAATAGAAGGGGAAATCAAGGAATTCCCCTAATTACTATGTCTCTCAACAAGCAGACGAACAAGCAATAACTGAAAAAAAAACAGCACAACGACCAACACATTGATGACATCCAATCATACAAGTTCAATATACAAATAATTCAAGCATATCAACACAACACCTTTCGACAAATTCAACCTCCTGAGCGGCCCGCCGGGAGTCCCCACTCGAAGGTTTTGTGTGGGAGATTGTGTGTTTTCCTCGAGGCATTTGATGATCGCCAGGAAAATGCGAAACACCTGGATAAAGCAAAAACAATCTGCCAAGGGCCTTGTTTTGCCGTTTTGGACCTTCAGGGCCCTTGTCAACCACTAACCATGGGGGGGCGGAAAGGCTCGACGTGAGGCCTCGCATGTCCAAAGCCCTTTGAGGTCGATTGGAATCGACCTCTTGGCGTCCTGCTCCTGCTTCCAGCTTGCGTCCTGCCCGGCGTGCCCAAACCGTCCATTGAAGGAAAAGCTTGGATCTAAGATATGACCTCCACTACCCCCCAAACCGCTACCCCCAGAGGTTCAATGGGATATACAACCCCTATATAGCCACTATACAAAGGGTGTATCCGCGGGTCGTGGTTTGAGGGTAGTGGACACCATCTCAGACTGGAAACACCAAAGAAGATCTTCCACAAAGGCCACTATCGCCATTCCTCTCACTTGCCCAAGACCCACTTTTCACCTTTGGGTTCCCCCCTAAAGGCTCCATTTGAAAAGCCAAGGTGGCCATGACGGTTCATGGTGGGCCTTTGGGTCGTGAAGAACCAGGCTGATTTTGCTGAGTGGCCTGACTCTCTGCTCACATGGGTAAAACATGGAGTGTGTGTTTGTGTGTGTCTTTTTTGAGATGCCCCTTTTGCTTGTGGTTTCATGGGAAAAGCAAAAGGAAAACCACCCTTTCGGAGGTCCCCCCCCAAAAAAAAGACACGCCCACGTCTTATGCGCGTTTCCCGCCCTTTTTAGACAAGTTCGGCATGCATCCCAACAGTACAACAGTGGTGTAGAGTTTGACTCAAGATGCATCTGGAAAATCCTGCCCTGTTGAATCCCTTGCGACTTGTCACGACCCTTGCGATGCCCATAAGGGACCCTATGAAGAGTCCTCAATCAATGGACCTCAAAAACAATGAGGACCCCAAAAGCAGTCAGGACCTTAGGGTACCTGGGTATGGGTCAGAATTAAACCATCAGGGGGGCTATGTTTGACCCACAACCATTTGTTTGCGCCCGTGAAGTAGACGACTGACCTATATATCTTCTTCAAAAATGCTCGCCCTTGGCTTGATCTAGGAGGCACTTTATGGAAAAACCCTCAGGGTATGGAGCATGGTATTTGTCGAAGTATGGAATGACGAGAGAGTAACAAAACGGAAAAACGCTAAAGGGTCGGTTTGAGGCAACCATCAAACAGCAAAATCCGAACTGGTTGAATGGAAGGCGGGATTCTCTGCAACCGCTGCGTCTGCCTCGGCGTCTTTTCCGAAGAACAAATGGCACTGAAACATGGCTAGCACAAAACTAAAGCCAGAAGCATGCGTGCTTCTCTGATTTTCTTGCAGGGGTCCCTGTTTGTCCTGTCCTCAACAAACAATTATGCAAACAATTTGATTCACTTTCACCGGCTCACTCAAGGTGAGCAGTTGCAGAGCAAACGTTAGATCAATGTTGTTTGCTTCTCCCGTTTGCAAACATGGGTGATCTCCCAGATTGCGTGCAGAATGTGAACACATCCCCGAAAACATGCCTCCCAAGCACAATATGCACCGAGACAATTGTCGACGGATCTGGGATACACCAAAATCACGTGTTCAGATTCTGCTTCATATATTTAAACTACCCCATTTTTGGAGGACAGGCCCTTGGAGCAGTCCCCAGCATTCTATTCAAGGACCCGACAAACCACCCATTTAGGAAGCCTTATGGAGGCAAATAAGGTGGTCAACCAAGGCAAACCCCTGCCGTATGGGGGGGGGGGGTTCCCGGGGGGCCTGCCTTCTGGTCGAATATAACAACATATTTTTTGTCATGATATCTCCAGCCCCTTCTGCGGATTATCAACATATATAATCCTCACTAAACTAAGCAGTGCCAGCTAACATGGCCGATTGGAACCAGTCTTCGGCGCACTGCGTTCGGTGGACTGTAAAGCCCCTCTTTCAAAACCCGACGATGTCCCCTCCTCACGCCCGTGCCAGTCATCCTGCGGCCCAATAGGACCCTTTGGTGGACATCACTTAGGTGGGGATCCACCCACCACTTGTGTGGTGCCTATGTGTATACATATATATATATATATGGATAGGCTCACTAGGCACATGAAACAACGTAGAAAATGAACCACCTGCAAAATTGCCAAGAATGTCAACATCAGATGCTCAGGTGAAAGACTATACCAATCACTTGGCAGGAAGAGTGGATCCCGCTAAAAAAGACTGCTCACTTTTGCTGGCAAGAAAAAAATGAAGGAAACCCAAAAGGGGTCTTTAAGGGCAAACAAGTGGGCAAGCCCTTCTTGTGGTCGAAATGACTGCATTTTAGGAAGTGTCTCTGATGAATCTGGTCCTCCCGATTAATCCGAAGTGAGACTCAAGTTTCTCATGGTAACCCAACCCGCCTCCCTCAGGACTCTTTGGGATCGGTCACACACCTTAGACTCTGCGAGGTTCCCTGGGCGTGGGTCACTTGGCACTCGAAGAGCGCAGCCGAAACGAGAGCATGGAGGGTGCTGGCCTCTGAAGGGCGGTTGCCCCATTTATTGGGTCGCGTACTTGTCGTCCGCGGGAAAAGCTGGCGAACACCACAAGTGGAATGAGGTATCCAAGCTGAAATGAGGAAGTGCACAGACCTTTTTTGAAAAGCAACGTGCACCAATCATGTTTTGGTGAGGGGCAAACAACCAGGAATACGTCATCAAGCCAGAAAGAAGCATTGCTTCTTTAGTCGCATGTCCTACAGGTATACCCTTTAGATGGAAAAGTGGCATCCTTCTAAACGGGCTTCCCTAGATTTCCCTGCAACATCACCCCCTAGATTCCCTGCAACATCACCCCCACAGGAAACGTTCAAGCGCTGCAAGGGTTATGTCTGTCCAAAAGCACCGAAAAGGGTAATATAGGGACGCCTGTTAAAGGAACCCCTCCAAAAATCAAACAACAGGAACAATGCACCCCCCCCCCCCCCAAATCCAAAAAGGCGGCATGGAGTCAGACAGTGCTCGACCCGACCTTCGACGCACCCGCATCCCGCCCACGAAAGGAAATGTTTTCAGGTCCCCCACTTTGGGTTTTGATGTGAAGCCCCTCCAGAAGTTTCATCTCGCCCCTTCGGATGAGCCTGATGCTCAAGCAACTTTTATGTGCCCTGTTTGCGGGGTCGAAATCCCACATGACCCCCCAACATGTCTAGTCTTCTCTGGCCAGTGGTCAATATGACTAGATATATTTGGCAAGAGACTCGTTGAAGAACACTAGGATGGACATTCTTGCACATATCCGAAATCGCTAAATGATCAATTGGGGTCAAATTTCAATCACCGGCCTCGTCATTTGGAAGGCTCAACCACATGTTTGGCACATAAGTCACATGGCCACCTGGCTGTGCTGTTTGCAGCACATCTCTGTATGGCCACCTACAAATGCTGATTGGCCTTTGGCAGAGGCTTTGCGATTGAGGTCGTTGCGTTTTGGGGTCTCTTTGGATGAGTTTCCTCTTGGGCGATGTTTATGGTCGTGCCTCTCAAATGGTCTTCCGTAAAAGGGAAAAAAGCACAACAAACAAAACGTGCCCAGGAACTTAACAGGAGTATTTTGCTTTTGCTTCACCAGCATGAAAAAGAAATGAACCTCCCCAAGAAAGGAACCTTCATCATGGTTGGCACATCCTCTTGGCCACTACTTGCTTGTGGGCGTTTCACCCCACCCTTTCTCACCCCGAAAAGCAACAACCACCAGCAACCCCGTCGGCTCCTGTTTGTGACTGCCCCAGTTGCCAGCATCCTGCGCGAGTTTGGGAGTGGACTGTCCAATCGCCACCCGGGAAAATGAGGGCCGCGCCCGGCCCTGCACTTCCCTTCTACCCGGAATCAGTGCTCCCTATATTTCCCCCTTAAACACAAGTGGCCGGTGTGCGAAGGTTGCAAAGTGGGCCACTTCAAGGGATAGGGTGCCCCTTACTTTCAACTTGCAATAGTTTGGTGGTTTCTCGCAACATGTGGGTTGCCGTTCAACGCCCTCAAAAGCCCTGAAGGTTCCTTGCTACTTACTTGAGGATGTGCGTTGACCCATCTAAGGAAAAACACATGGAATTCCATTCGCTTCTTCTGTTCAAAGACCTGCAAGAAGGGGACAGCCCTAAGAAAAGACGCACCCCTTGAACAAACTCATTCTCTGGGGGGAGCTTCTCCATTCATTCCAGAGATCCTTGTCTTGAGAAACCACCGAACACCCCCGGCCTTGTGTTTGTGTCTGTCTGTCTGTGTGTGCAAAGGAACAGAATGTCAGTGATCGGTGGGAAAAAGGGAATCATGTTTGTTGGTTGATTCTCAAGGGACACCCTGCCCCCCCCCCAACAAAAATAATAATAAAGAAGAAACAAAAGATCAGGGTGCCACGGGGCAACTGGACCAAGGGTCTTGGAGCAACCTTGCGCTCCAGCGAATTCCGCCATCCCATACTGGGGTCATGATGTGTTTCTTGGGAATTATCAAAGTCAGAGAGTGGGGGGGTGACCCCAACTAGTCAGAGAATTGGCCTCGGGCAAAGAGAATGGTTGGTTCTTTAAAAGGTGACTCTCACAAAAGATTGGTAGGGCCCTCGCCATACCCTCACAGGACTCTTTGTCCTGCGCCTTGCCGTAGTTGGACCATGGATCCTGGCACATCGAATCCAAGGGGCACACTTTGCGTTGCGTAGGCCTCTTTGGGGCACTGCCTTCTTGGGTTTGGGGTACCCCGCATAACTTTGGGGCTGGCTTTGTTGGGGGGAGCCCTTGTTTGAAGTGTGCGGTGGAAGTCCCCACAAACCTTCGAGGCAAATGAAGGAATCATGACTCATGACCCCACTTCCAGGGTGAAGTCAGCAGTTATGTTTAATTTACTAAGGCGGAAGCAAGTTTGAAAGGTGGATCGAAGGGATCTACGTGGAGGATCGTTCAGCCAGAAAGGGCCCAGGACTGTCGGTGGGCCTTCTTCGGAGGCTCACGTAAAGTTGTGAGAGCCATATGGCCATGGGTCAAAACCCGAATCGTACCCCCAGTGGACATCCAAATCCAACCACTAAAATAGGTTCTAAAATGGGTGGTGCACCTATAAAATAGAGTACAATGGGTGGTGAATTCACCTACCCCAAAATGGGATCCCATTGGTTTTGACCCACGGCCATATAAGATGCTTGGAGGGCAAGCGTGGGGGTACAGTACCTGAAAGCTCCTGTGAAACCTGGAACCTATACTCATTAGTTCAGCATCATTTTAGAAAAAGCCAAACACGTCTCCGATGGCATCGAACGATGGCCCCGTAAGGAAAAAACACACCGGCCACCAAGTATGGTGCCAGCTGAAACTACTGCTACGAGTTCATTGCTCCGTGCGTCGCTCTCAAACCAAATGGGAGGTTGTCAAAATAGCGGTGCCCCTAAAATGGTTGGTTTCCCACTTTAAATCCGAACCAAAATGGGACCATGTTGAGAAACACTCAAATGCGCCATGGTCACAACTCCCAATGGGCCATGGTGTTTTCCTAGCTCCCTCGATAGGAATCCTTCTGGAACTTCCCTTTTTTGGAGGCCCATGAACATCCCTACCAACCCAAAAAAACATGTATCACGTCTTCCCACCGGCAGTGAACTGCTTGCCCACTGCCTGAAGTTCCGTGGAGGTAACACCCCCTTCACCTACTCAAGGCTGGAGACATCGCAAATAATTCTAGGGGTTGATTCCTTTTCCATTCTTTTCAACCATCGTTCTTTTCACAAACCGGCTGTTTCCCCTGGGTGTTTGATGGTTTCCTGAAAAGAAGGATCCTGGAAAGAATGGGGAAGGTCTAGGCACGTTCCCCGCTCTTTCCAGGGAGCCCTCTTTCCGAACCACCAAAAAAGCCCCACCATGGAGTGGCCCTCCCACAGACTCCTGCACCTCCGTAGACTCCTGCAATGAACCCGCGCGAGCTGGTGACTTAGCTTGGAGCTTAGCTAAATGGCTGTGGTTCAAAACCAATGGGATCCCATTTTGGGGTAGGTGCACCACCCATTCTAGAACCTATTTTAGTGGGGATTTGGATGTTCACTGGGGGTACGGGATTTGACCCATGACCAAATGTTGATCCTGGTCACGACCCTCTGAGTCAACGTTCAATGCCAGACCATCTAAGCACCCTCCGGCTGCCATGGAACTGGAAGAAGGAGCCCTCTGGTAGGCTGCATGCTTCCTGCTTTGCCGGAAAAAGAAAGGCCTCCCAACCCCCCAGGAAAGGTTCTTCGAACCTCCGAACCGACTTAGAAGGGGTTGTGGAATGGAATACGGCAACAAGGGTGTCTTCAGGGACATGGTACCCTCAAAAGAAGAAAGTATCCTCTCTCTGGATATCAAACTCCCAACATCCGCTAAGCCTACACCTGAAATAAAGCAACCGTGGTGACCTCGATTTACCCCGATCGGTGAGCTCGTAATGTTGACCCAGGATTGATGAACCCGTCCCACTATTAGGGGGGTGTTCCCTCCAACAGTGATGAATCCCCACTACAAAAGGGGACACCCCCTCGAGCAAACTCAACCAGTGGTTTATTTATTAGCATGACTCGATGCTTTGCTCGGCTCCTCCCAGCTCTTGGACTTCCACTCGTCCTGCGACAACGACGCCGCGCAGCACCCCCCCCCCCCCCGCCCCAAGAAGGCCCAAACGGGCTAAAGCGGGGGGGGTGTCTGTTTTTGGGGTGGCTTGGCGTGTAGGCTTTTTTGGCGAAAACTTGCTGAAACGGAAAGAACAAACCATGGCTAGCTTGTTTTCATACACAGAGTAAGTGACCAAACGAAAACGTACGTGTGATACCCGTCCACCACTCATCTACTTGGCCAAACACACTGTTTTGTGTACGTAGGAGCACTTCTGTATGGTACAATCTCTTCTGGGTCGGTCCGTATTGTACAAACGGTTTATTCACTTTTTGGGGCAGTCGGCAAAACAGTGATTCCGGTCTGTGCCAAAATGACCGGCATCTTCATGTGTTGTGCTTTCGTCACAAATCCTGATGAATCATGCGGTTGATTTGTGTGCATTGCCTGCATGTATGGAGCATATGGTTTTCACTTGTTCCCAATCCCAATGAAAAACCTAGTCCCAATTTACGTTGCCCTGCTTTGAGTGATGCACCTGTGTACATGTGACAACAGAATTCGGCGCTCAATACGCAGCTGCCTGAGACCAAATCGCCAAACTGGTACTCAGCGAAAACTTGCGAGTTGTGCCCTTTGGTCGTACAATAGGCTCCAGACTGCTTGTTGATGAGGAGGGCCGGCGTGAACTGTCCTTCGCTGTACCGTATTCGGTTTTCTGATGCCCACACGATGGACTTGGAGTGACCGCGCTCCAAGAGCTCATGCTGCTCTAGCCTGGGATCCCCATGCCGGCCTCTATCAAAAAACCAATGGCTGTGGGTCAAAAATAGGGAACCCCAAAATGGCACCCAATGACTAAAACCTGTGGTCCCCTGGTGGTTTAATTTTGACCCATGCCCAAATTGTGGAGCCATTGTCAGTCCAGAGAAGCCCCAGGTTGCTGTACAACTGGCAGATCTGAATCACAGCAAAGCATGGCAACAGAACCACTGGACGACTGGGGTCGAGGCCTCGACGCTTCAAGGAGAAACTGAGTTGTGCGCCACGTGCTCAAGTCTGCATACTCAGTTTTGCAAACCCGGCAAAAGTGGCATCAGTGGACCCCTTTCCAGTGCGCAGCAAAACTGAAAAGCGGGATTTGTCTAAAGTTGGAAAGACATTACCCCCAACCCCCAGAAAGGTCGGACTTTGGTTTCCTCCCTAGCCAGGAGCCAATCAAACTCATCTTAAGTTGCCAAGTGATATTTGCTCTCATGCAAATTGACATGGAACCTTACAAGCAACAGAAACACAATCCTTAGAGGAGATTCCTTCTGGGGAACCACAAATGCTGTACAGCACTTCCTAGAGGTTGAATTACAACAAAAACATTCCATGCACATTTCAACACTGTAAATATCAGCGGTTCGTCGTCATTGTCCAGTGTGTAACCCCCTTCGAAAGCGTGATTTCTCTTCTTTCCCTCGAATGTGAACACCCCGTCAACCCCGATAGGATCCGCACGACTCACGAAGATCCGAGCCGCGACGGCGGGTCCTGCTGCCATCCTGGCTCAACGCCAAAATAAAATGCTACAGCAATATGTAAAGCTCACATCCTGAGAAGTTTTGGCCAGAAAAACATTCCGGTTTACCGCTTATACTTCATACTCATATGTGCATGTGTTCTTTCAGGGCGCACTTTTCAGCTTGGTTTAAAGGGAAACCAAGAGGAAACACCTTGTTCCCACACAAACCCATATCCCCGGAACTCCATGTTATGCGCCTTACAGTATATATACATAAACGGACAATCATACCAGGTCCTCGACTTATGTCGAGCCCAAAGCATCCCCAGGCCATTGAGCCATCAATACCTAGAGGGGTGCCCAGGTCTCAGTTGGCCGTGGGTCGAAACCAATGGTACAATTTTGGGGTAGGTGAATTCACCACACATGTTTCTGTTTATTTTAGTGGGGATTGGGATGTTCATTGGGGGTACGGGACTTTGACCCATGGCCAGTTGCCCAAAGGAGTTGGAAATAAACACGCTTCACTTTTGGGGCCACGACAAAAAATGGACCAAAGGTCAGCGTGCAAGCGAGAGGTTGGGACTGTAAATGGACAACTGGAAGGTGCAGTCTTGGCTGCTGTTGGGTTGGATCTTTAAACTTTAACTTTTTGGGAAAGCAAGTTGGGTTTTCCACTGAACCCGCAAAAAGTTAAAACTTTTTGCAGAGGGGTCAACAGGTTTCGTTCCGAGGCAGCCCCTAACCTTTGCGGTGGGGTCTTTGCAAATGGATGGTCAGGGTCTGATTCCTGGGTTACGTGGCTGTCCTTCAACGTCACGCCAAAGAAACTCGCTTCACGGTTGTCCTTCGTGGGTCCCTTGCTAAATGGCTCAATGTTGAACTAAATCCCTCAAAACCCCAGAAAGCTAAAAAGCCAAAGGGCATGGCTGGGACACGTCCAAATTCTTTGGCCAAAGGTGCTGGGTCTAAGGGACCAGACAGAGACGCCAGATGCTCATGACCTGTAGGCAGGGTGCGACCCCTCTTCAAGTCTTAGGCCAGGGGCAGCCGTGAGCCAGTTCCAACAGCCTCCGCCCCTAACCCATTGCCCGGCTCGCCCCGCCTCGGCTCCACGACATGGCAAGAACCGGAGCTGGCCTTTGTGGATTCCAGGTTGCTCGGTGGCTCAAGGCTCAGGCTGAAAACACCTCGGGTCCCGAAGTCGCATTTGGGGGAACCCTTTGGGTTGGTTGAGTGGGAAACCACGAGAAAGGCTGCCAGTTTAGGCGGGCATGTTGAGACAGGCCCAAATCGGCTATGGAACCACTGGAAAGGGCCGAGGTGCTCCTTCGGTTTCTGTACACCGAAAACATGGCTGGAAAGGGAACCGTCTACCTGACCTAGACTCGTTTTGTTGGAGATGCTTTCCAGTGCTGGTTCGTGGAAGTGGCTCAAGCTCAGTTGCTGCGTTTGCTGGACTCTCCTGGCTTTTTCTATGAGGCGCTGTCTCCCGCGAGGCGTGTTGTGTCGCCTTGCAAAATCTTGAGCCGGAACTTCGAGCCGCAACAAACATGTGTCATACGGGTATGCGTCTCAAAATAGGGGACCCACTCAAATGGATGGTCATTCTGATTTGCCTGTACACCCAACCCTCAACAAAACATTCACCCATATGGATGTGCGCCTTTTGAGGGCACCCTTTCCAGGTGTGAAGAGGTGAAATGGTCCTGGATGTTCTTGGAATCCCTCCAAGGATCCTGTAATCGATTTCCCTCTTGAACGGAGCCAAAGCCCTGCTGCAGGCTCCCTGGGAGGGAGAAAGGTGTGTAGGACATTTGAACCCGCAAATGGTGGGGTTGGGCTGGTTTCCCTTGAAACCAAGCCGAAAAGGGTAGCCTCAAACAAACACCCACCCGTCTTCTTGATTCGTAACGGCAAAGGGAAACTTCCACGTCCCTTTCAGTAATCCTTCCTTCACCCAAAACTGAAGCCTGATTGTTCAAGAGGTGGTCCCAGAATATCTCTGATGCATGAGCCTTCTTTCCCCGCTGATCCAGATTCCAAGCTCTAAGATGGTGTCCGCTGTCCAAGCCGATTCCCAGGAAAAACGGACGTTCTATGCTTTGTGGCCAAACAAGTGGTTGACCCCCTGGGTCCCAGTAGTAAAAAACAATTTACAAACACTAAACCTCAGGAAAGCGGTCTTAACCGATTTTAGAGGGTCCTGGCACTGATATAATTGTGATTGCCTCCGGATTTCTAAACTTCTGGCTGATTGTTGGGGGGGTGGTCCCCTTTTGGTGGGGATCCTTCACTTTTGGAGCTAAGCAGCCCCTAAGAGTAGGACCGTCTACTTAGATCCGGGGTCCTTGGTGCGAACAGTATCTCAACCTTTGAAAGGGAGAGTGGAGAAAGCTGGACAAACGCGACTCTGGTTAGTACGCCGTCCCCCCCCCGGTGATTTTGCTTCTTGGATTTCCAGACGTTGCTTCATATTTGGTCCGCCCTATTGTATTGAAAGGGCTGGGAAGCCTGATTGCAGGGCCAAATCAGGCCAACAAAGGCAACCAAAAGGTGCTAGCTGTTGGGGTTTAAGGGGTCTTTGGGAGTTTTCGGCAGCAGCAATCTATTCAAACGCACATGCCGGATGTCTTGCCCGGTCGCACCCAAGTATGCACACGTCAATTAAGGCCACGTGGCTTTGCAATTGAAGCTTTGTCATATGTGACCAGACATGACTTGCTCCCCACATGGGAAGGCGAGCCTTCTCCACGTGTTTTTGTTTAAATGCCGGGCCCAACCACCCATGTCCTTGCCTAAACAAAAGTGGACCAAGCATATCGTCTGGTGCTGATAAGAAGCCGTGCAAAACAGAATCTCGAACGATCGCCCTTTACTTTCGTGGCGCTCTAGACATGCACCCTCTTCGCGGTTGCTTGATGTTTAAGCGTAAGCACCGAAGCCAAGACCCCACGCAAATATGCGACGTGCTTCTTACCTCTATATTCAGTATTCCCCCAAGAAGTTGAAAAGTGGTTTTGGGCTCAGGCAGAACAAGGAACCACTGAGTCACTGGGCAACCCGGGTTGCTTGGGCAACAGCAATACTGCTCAATCCAAGAACCCCACATGCAAAGGGACCTCCAGTTGCGTGTCGCAGCGTCCCAAAAGAACCATCCACCCAAGGCCTTGACAATTGATCTCTTTGGAGACTTGTCTGAAGGGTGTCTTGCAAACGTCCTCTAACAACCAGGCATGAAACAAAAGCCTCTTCTACACGCCATGCTGTGTGCAAAGCCCGCGCCGACGGTTGCTGCATTAACTCCGTCACGTCTTGCAACGAAACCGCAGCAAAGAGCGCGGAATCCGATGGACCGAAACCGAGTTAGGCGACCCTGGAGGTCAAGACAGGTCCATCGCTCATCTTCCCCGACGAACAATGGGCTTTACAGAGGACTGGTGGACTAGTAGTATGTTGAGCCGGGACAAGCGTCGCTCATCAACATGGGCCAACTGGCCCATCAAGAATCAGCCCATCGAGGCCGAGTAAGCTGCCAAAGGCCTGAATTATTGGGGGGTCTCTGGGAATGGGTTGCGAGTCCTGTTCATGAAATGCTTGATGCAGGAAGTGCATCCTAAAAATCAGATTCTAGCTCCCTTTGGTGTCCGCTAAAAACAACCAAATAACGCTATCCGAGAAAAAAAAAATGTTGTTTGCCTTTGGTGTCCCTTCAAAACAACCAAACACAAAGCTATGAAGAACTGATGTCCCTTTGGTTTCGCTTTAAAACATGCAAACACTGGTACCTTGTCTGCACAAGTTACAACAACTTCCCACATCATGGGCAGTGAGCTCGTATAGCCCCCGGCGAGCTGAAACTTCCCCAGATTCTATCTAAAGCAAAAGACAAACGGCTTTTTGCTCAAGAAATGCACCCAAACAGGGATCCAAGTTTTGACTACCCCAAGGTAGACTTAAACCTAGGGGTTGATGTCCCCAAAAGGAGAACCCCTTGGTTTGAGTCTACCTTGAGCTAGTCAAAAAGTGGAACCCTGCACCCAAATGCGTGGCTTTCCTCTGGGTACCCTCGACAACACCTGCCAACTCGCCGACCCTTTCACGGTCCAATGATAGCGAGAGCGCGACTTACTCACTGGCCCGGCAAGGCTATTTCGATGGGCCCAAGCGGCCCCAAAAGCCCAAAGCCAAAGGGACTTGTCCAGCACGTTCTGGGCCAGACTTTGACCAAGCGAAAAAAGTATGCTGTTTGTTTCTTCTGTTTCTTGTTTTTCCTGATTGAAAGGGGAAAAGACAATGGCAACAAGTCAAAAAGATACAATGGCAAGCAAAGTCTGGCAATGCATCAGGGACCAGGGACCCTACCCTCGATAGAACCTATCCTGTTCCCTAAATCACCCCTTGCTGTTTTGCGGGGAAAAGAAGAAATCCATCGAGGCTGCAAGTGTTGCCTTCGGCCAATCTCCCAATCTCCCCCCTGACAGATTAATCCTTTACCCCTTGGTTTGGGATGGATGTTGGAGGAAGCCAAGGAAGTCTTTGTTGTTGGGCCCTTCCTTGAGAACCAAGAAAAGGCGAGCCTTCTTTTTGGTGACAAAAGCCCTGGCCTCGGTAGGCCCATGGGTAATCTGAGCGCCTACTACGGGTGTCTCGCACAAATTCAGGGACTCCCAACATGTACGTCCATTTGGTCTCCATTTAAAGCACCCCGTGGTTTGAGGCGTCTTTGCCTCGGATGGTGATTTTGTCTGGATGTTAGGAAATGCTAGGAAACGCCTGCATAGAATCATTCTAAGGGTTGATCATGACATTTGTTCACCCCTTCTTCTTTTCATTCTCCACCCAACTCTCCGTTTCGTCTTGCACTGTGTTGTCTCTAACAGCAAGGGTCTCCAGAGATAGTGGGTGGGAAGTACGGCTGAAGCTGTCTACGACAAGTTCATGGCCCCATCTGGAAAATCCTGCCCTGTTGAAACCCTTGCGACTTGTCACGACCCTTGCGATGCCCATAAGGGACCCTATGAAGAGTCCTCAATCAATGGACCTCGAAAACAATGAGGACCCCAAAAGCAGTCAGGACCTTCGGGTACCTGGGTATGGGTCAGAATTAAACCATCAGGGGGGCTATGTTTGACCCACAACCATTTGTTTGCGCCCGCGAAGTAGACGACTGACCTATATATCTTCTTCAAAAATGCTCGCCCTTGGCTTGATCTAGGAGGCACTTTCTGGAAAAACCCTCAGGGTATGGAGCATGGTATTTGTCGAAGCATGGAATGACGACCGAGTAACAAAACAAAAAAAACGCTAAAGGGTCGGTTTGAGGTAACCATCAAACAGCAAAATCCGAACTGGTTGAATGGAAGGCGGGATTCTCTGCAATCGCTTCGTCTGCCTCGGTGTCTTTTCCGAAGAACAAATGGCACTGAAACATGGCTAGCACAAAACTAAAGCCAGCGCCATCCATGTTCACTGAACAAGATGCCAATGTGCATGTCCCGCTCAGATCGTCAAACCAACCATCCCTAGCATCAATCCTCCGAACATGACCGGTGGCATCGGATCATCCAACGATTAGATCATCCCAAAAAATCATGTGCTACAGTCAAAGTTGATCCCCTGAAGGGACAAATGCGAGTCCTCTGGTTTTGTGGGAACTTTGAGTCCCAGTCCCTCCCGAATGGTCCATAAACTACTGGATTGTTTGGTTGAAGCTATGGGCTCCAGCACGAAAAGCCCCAAAGGTTTAAAGAAGGTACGCCAAATCTGCAATGTTGATAGAGCTTCTCGGGGCTCACTAAACCCTAGAAAATAAGAAAGCCAAATAAGGTGTTGGTGGGGGTCTGTCGGGATCCCTGATTCACATGGCCATGCGGGGAAAGTGCACCTTTTTGTTCGGTTCAACTTAAAGGGAACCCGCCTCCAACACCAAGCAGAAACCAGGCACCACTGGAGGTCTGGGCTTCTAACTTCTTGAGTGGATTAGCCACAACAAGTCAAACGTTTAGTTTGCGACTAAAAGTCATAAGTGTTTCTCTCCAAAAAAAACAAAAAAATGTACATAAAGCCACGAAACTTGGGCAGTGAATCTTTCGCACACCTTCACCAACCCCACAAACCCGGGAAGTGAGTAAAAGCCCTATTCCGAGTCACCTCGAAATAGCCCTCGGGTCTCTTCACAAAGGTCGCAGTGATCTGCGCGCGCTCGCGCCATGAATTCAGCTGGCCGGGAGAAAGAAGATTCAGAGCCGAGAGCTGGTGGCCGCCTTTCGGCAGACGCCATTTTCCGTAGACCGTGATTTGGCTGTGGGTCAAAAACAGGCACCCAACATGGAACCCCTATACATGCAAACATGGACTAAAACCTATGGTTCCCTGGTGGTTTAATTTTGACACATAGCCATTTGCCCTTTTGGAACATGACAGTTCCTGGTGAAGCTTTTTGACTTCGGTATGGTTGTGATCCAACTACCTGCCAAATGCCCGGGACTGCCAGCAGGCGACGCAAGCCCACCAGCGAGGCCTCGATCGACGCTTTCACCACCGCCGAGGCGCCGTAGCGGCTTTTATCCGCTTGCTGCGGGTCACTACCGTTTTATCGATTGCCAGCCAACCATCACTTCGTCACTTGTAGGGGATGCCCCAAGCGCTCACAAGTGGCAACCTCTGCCCAGCTTCATGCCTCATGCATCTGCAGTTGTCATGTCTTTTGTCAGGGTGCAGCGTCCTCAAATGACCCTTTGGGCAGTGTTGGTTTCAGGATTGTCCAAACCAAACGCTCCATGGGAAGTAACAAGCTGTAAGAAGCTCCCTGACATCGTCTCACTTGGCAATGCGGCAAACCTGCCGATCCCGCTTCTCGAATTTCTTATTTCCCGGCCGGCAGACGCGGTAAACACTGCGTCGCTTGGACTGAAGGAGCCAAGTCTTGCATCTTGCATCTTGCGTCTTCAACTGCGTCCCTTTGGCGGCAGTGCGGAGCCGCAAGGGCTTGGTAAAGCCCCCCAGAGGTGTGCTGAAAGGAGAGATGCATAAATGGGCAACTTGGGTTTCCTTTGACCAACCTGAAAAGGGTACCTTCAACAAAAACACGCTCAAAGTGGCATCTAAAGCAAACTCTGCTTTTAGAGGTTGTCCAAAGGGGCCCCTCACCCAGGAAAGTCAAGAACTGCAAGCCGAAAAGGAGGAGCGGGGGTCGTGTTGAGCACTGTCGGGTCGTGCTTATCCGTTGCAAAAGAGGCAGGAAAGCCCTAACAAGCCAGCAACATGTTTCTGCAGGAGTTCAGCCCAAACCCTGGTATTCAGTGGGTATTTGGCTAATTTCCTGTAGAAGTTCTTGTTGCTGCATGATCAATTAGATGAGTTTGGACCTCAGAGAAACGTCTGTGAAGAAAGCAAAACAAGGATGACATCTCTGGAGGTACCAATGACAAAGGCTATTGTGGGCTTCTGAGGTAGGAAGACTTTGACGTACCTCGACTGGGACTGGGCCCACTCCTGCCGCCCATTGTCTTGCTGTCACAGCAAGGGGGGGTTCCAACAAGGAGGATACTTGAATAGAAAATATTGGGGAGTGCAAGTCAGAAGACTCCCTGTCGCTCAAGACACATCTTCCCAACCCCCTAATATGTCAGCAGAATATCACTGCTCCTTGCAGCCTCCCAGTGCAAAGAGTTGCAGAGCCGTAGAAAAGGTCGAAAGCTAAAACACATTCCCCGTCATGATGCCTACGCATCTGGGGTGGCCCCGATGGTTTTCTTCGAAACTGACCTGCTCAAAACAGTAAAACTATAAAGGCATCTATTTGTTCCCTATGAAAATCAGAAAGTAGTTGGCAAACCGTAAAGATTGTCTATCACGCATCACATCTTGGCTCCCTCGCTCCGCTTCCCTGCAGTGAGGGAAAGTGCAAAGTCCCGTGCAAGGCTCGAGCTGTAACTCGTACCGATGTGGGTCCTGGTTGTCCACTGCTTGGCTGCCTCTGTTTAGTTCTACGTTGACTCATCGATGGCAATTCTTTGGGGGGCCGTTACTTTGAGACGAATCCATACCCTGGAAGCCATGAAAAAGGAATGGCCCACCATAAGTTGTCCTCCTCCCAAGAGGACATATAACTGCCCCTGTGGTTTTAAGTAACTTACACAAGGATTGTCTTCCAAACATTCAGAGGTCCACTTCTGGACAAACCCAACTGCTTGACGACCTTCAGCTCGAGCTCTGCCCAATTCGCTTGCCGAATGGGCTTGAATTATGTTGGCCCTAGAATGGGCCGGTTCAACTAGGATGGCGCATGTTTTAGAGTTACTTTTGCTGGTGGCGCGAGTCATACTTCTTTCAAGCGGGAAAGAAAAAGGTTGCTTTAGAGGGAAACCAAAAGGAAAACCACGACTTGTTGGGGGTCCATCTATTTTAACGCAGACTCAACTCGCTTGGAGAAGTGTCACTGTCAGTTGGGCGTCGGCGTCGGAGTTCAAAGACGCACGAACCCACAAACCAGCCAGGACTCCAACGTTGAGGATATTTTGCTGGCTTCTGTGGCCTCAAAACGAATTGTTCCCCCCTAAGCCTTGGGGTGGTCTTTGGGGGGTAGGGTCCCTGGGAGCTTGATAACAGCCACGCTATTTAGGTTTTTTACAAATGGATGGCAGATGCACATGCTGACGCAAAAACCAACACAAATTGAAGCAAAACCACATCTTTGCAAATGTTTCTGGCCAATTCCGGTTGTTCCATGGGCCCGCTCGGCACAAGGGTAGACACCTGAAGGGAAACTAACGGAAACCGTTCACACATGCTCTACTCTTAAGGTCTAGTCTTTGTTTGCAAGGAGCAATCCTCAGGGAGTCGGCAGGAGCAACGAAATTGATCTGGGGCACATCTAACAAAAATTTCACCACTCCCTTCAGGGTTCAGTGGGATGTACAGCCACTATACAGCCGCGGGTCCCGGTATGGGGCCATGTGGGAAATAACCCTACCAAAGTGGGGCATCCGCATGACTACTTCTTCACCTTGGTATCACAGAAACTGGCTGCCTAAAACTACCGCTTTTTTCCCACACTCCCAAACATACTCCCTCATGTGTTTCCTGAACGTCTTGGCAGGAGGTTCTCCAAATTTGTGTGCAAAACAATTGGATTTGGACCTCAAATTGGTGGTGACAAGAGTACCCTCAAGAAAGACGCTTGTATCAACACCCTTTTTGCGGGTGGCGATATGGAGGGTGTGTCGTGTTTTTGAGGGGAGTGGTTTTAAAGGCAACCAAAAGGAAACCACCGATTTTGGGTACCCTATTTCAAGGAACCCACATATGAATGTCATACATGTATGAGCCCATGCAAACAAGGAGCTGCCCATTCTGTTCAGCCTCGAAGCCAAACTATCCTCAAAACTTGGACATCCCCCAGAGACTGAAGGCAACATCCCATGTTTGAGGGTTTGAGGTCTCAGGTACTCCAAACAGCACCACCTTGTCCGCTGAAACCGAGGAGCTTCCACGTCCGGACCTGTCCCGCATCCGCTTTCGGAGCCCGAAAAGTGCGAAGGAACGCCATCACATCAGGCCTCGGAGGGGATCGTAAGTGGCCCACCTGAGAAATGGGTACCCCTCTTCTTTTTGTGGTGCTCAAGGGAAACCAAAAAGACGACTACCATTATGTTGGTTGTTTTTGGGGGGTTGTGGTGAACCACCAGTTTTGAACGGGGGGGTCAACGGAAAAAGACACACCCATCTTGAGAAACACCCATTTTGGAATCGACCCTAAATCTAATACAGAAATGAAGGTGACTCCAGCATAGGCACTGGTCACTGGCTTGTGGTGTGTGTGTGTGTCTTTGAGGACACACAAACGGCACCCTCACAGAATCACGCACGTGCGGACCCCCACAAACACGCAAACACATCAACTCTGGGGTTCAGATTCAGGGTAGATGTAAGCTGTTGGAGGGAGAACTTATCCCATTCAACAGGGCTACAAGCCCGAGTATGGGCATAAAAAAAGGCATGCATTTGACCCACAAGGTTCTTCGTTCCCGATACGGACATGGGAAAGTGACGTCCCTCCCGGGTTTGATGGGAAATTCGAATGGGCCCCGCGAGTCCTGCCCAAACTAAGAATGCTCCACCAGCAAGATGCAGTCAGTTCGCATATTTGGGGCACATCCTGAAAATCCTGAGGGGTGAGGGCTGAAGAGTGGATAGGGCTTGAATTCAGAGGAGTCAAGCGTTCCGGGGGCTAGTGCCTGAGGGCCCGCGGGTAAAACGTAAAACCCGCCATGGGTTTCATGACGCAAAAGGAGAGGATTGGCCAAAACAAGTCCGATTGTTTTGGTTTGCCGGCAAACAATCGGCCTGCCCAAAAAGAGGCATGAAGTCCAGAAAACGTGGAAAGTGAGATTTATGACTGGGCCACGGAAGGCTCCCTCCCGCCAAGCCGCAGCAAGAGAGGCCTGCTTCATCCTCCGACCTTGGTGCTTTCGAGCCCGGGTGCCTACACATTAACTGGATGACTCTGGATGTGATCCTTTCTGAGCAGCCTTGCAGTTTTAGGGCGCGCCTGTCTCAGGTCCAAGCCTTTGCCTCTCGGGAAGTTCTCACGCAACTTGCACATGTGGGGTATGGGCCGCAGGTTGTAGTCCTTGTTTCCATTTATCAGGTTTCCATTTTGGCTTCCCTCTTTTTGACCCACACCCATGTCAGGTACATTTCAGGGTCCGGAAAGGACCCCGTTCGAAGTGTCCGGCCATGGTTCTGCACCAGTTGCTACAATTCACAAATGGGCGTGTCTTTTTTGGGGGGTCCCCTGCTTGGTTGGTTTTAGAGGGCAATCAAAAGGAAGCCAGCAACTAGTTGTTTGGAGAGGGGGGGGGTCCTATTTTGAAGAACCCAAATCTGAATGAAACCAAGAGGGACCTTCATGTGTTTACCGTGTGAGCTTGCCGTTGTAAGTGATTTGACCGGCCCTCTCATTCATTCTGCTTGTTGTTTTTTTGAAAAGCATCCCAAAAAGGCTTGGCCCCTCTCAGTCGTAGTTCTGCTTTGTGCTTCCAAGGGAAACCATCCCAAGGCTACCAAGCCAATTCTGACTGTTGTACCCTCCGATGAGGGTCAGTTGGAAGGGGGAGGTACAAAAGCTCCTGGTGCTGTTTTCCAATAATAATTAGGAAGCAACCCTGGTGGTTCTGCGGTCCAATCTTCCTCTGGTTTCCTACAAATAAGGCATCAACAAGGCCGTGTATATTAGGGCCTTCTCGTGGGGAAACAGCGGGAGGAGCTACGGACGTCCGCTCGACCGCTTCTTTTTGGGCGCGCGGCTCGGAGGAGGATGCATCCTGCGCAGATCGTCCCTATCAAAACCAGGAACCCTGACATTTCATCTGGACAAATAAGGAAACCTCTATGAAAATATCAGGGAAACCCACCGAAAATAAGGGAATCTGACAATTTTCGGTGAATTTGTCACCCACCGAAAATAAGGAAACCTCTATGAGGTTTGAACATTCACTATGGGTGACGTCGCTAAGCCCCCGAAACGTGACTTCGTCACGATTTAGCAGCTGGAATTCCATGGTTCCAGACCTCCAGTGTGAAAGGGATTTAGGGGTGGAAATGGGTGGCACACAGTGCCGGAAACGCCCTAACATCTATCCATCCCATTTAGGCTCCCCTTAAGGGGGTACTGGAGATAATATTCTGCCATGGTCAAGGAACCCGAAATCCCCCAGGCCCATAGGCAAATGTCTCGCGCCCAATTGGGCCTGGGCCTCACATTGTGAGGCCCTTGACAAACATTGGATTCCAGTGATGGACCAACCAACTGTGCAAACAACATGTGCACCAATGTTGCCCCAAGTCTGGGAGACTCCGAAAAATGTGTTCGCGTGTTATATATAATCTACCAAAAAAAAGAGATAGTTTGGGGTAAGACACTAAGTATGATCGTTTAAACCCAAAGCGCAGCTCCGTGGCGAACGAGCTCGCCTGAGGACAAATAGGGACTAAGCCACATCAATGGCCGGAGGGGGGGGGGATTTGTTGCTGCCAACATTTTATGCCGCAACATAAACAGATACCCGCCCCTCGGAATGATGTCTGGTGGGTCCGGGGGGCTCTATCCTAAGCCCAGGATAAGACGAAGACAAGTTTCAATGAGGGGTGAGTTCTGCTAGAACACCGTGTCTGTTTTCTTTTTTGGGCTGAGTTTCCTTTCGGAAACCTCCTGTAAACCCTGCTGACTTGCTCCCAAAAACCAGCCAGTCTGGATCGACCATTCGCGGGACCAATCATTGGACTTGGAACCCAGGTGTCCTCTTTCAAACAAAACCAGCTCCGAGGTCCCGCGTTTCGGCTTGGGGAGCTGCCCCCCACAAAAAACGTGGGGCGCCCAAAATTTCCCCTAAGCCTGGGATACACCTCGGGCAATGCGCGCCTCGGCCGCCTCAGAGACCGGCTCGTTTCGGCAGCTCCAGGGTAGCCTCAAATGGCCCCTGGGCGGTTGAGGGCAAGTGCCAACTGGAATGTTTTCTTGATTTGCGCGCTCATTGGTTGGTTTGCTTGCTGGTGTTGGTTGGTTTGACTGTGATTGTTGTTGCTTGACTTTGTTTGTTTGTGTCTGCCGTTGTTGGTGTTTTGGGTTGTTGGTTTGTTGGTTTGATGGTGTGTGTGTGTGTGTGGTGTTGTGTTGTATGCTTGTTGGTTTGCATTTGTTTGCTTTGTGTTGTTGGTGTGCTTGTTTGTGTGGCTTGGTAAGTTTGTTTGGTTACTTATGTGTCGTTGCTTGTTGGTTTGTTGGTGTGGTTTAGTTGGGTTGCGTGTGTTAGCGGTTGTTTGCTGTTTTGTTGATTTAGCGTGCGTGTGTCTGTGTCTGTGTGTGCGTGTGCGTATGTTGGCTTGTTTGATTGCTTTGTTGGTTAGCTGTTGTTTGCGGTTGTTTGTTGTTTTGGTTTGTTGGATTGCTTTTGCTTGTGCTTGTTGTTGTTTTAAGTGGCGGTCTAATGCTGTGTGCCTTTGCTGTTTTGTTGATTTGTTGGTTTGCCTTTTGTTTGGGCGTGGTTGTTGTTTGCTAATGTGTTGGTTTGCCATTGTTGTTTGTTGAGTTGTTGTCTGCCTTCGTTTGCATGGCTGTGGTTTTGTTGGCTTGCATTTGCTTGCTGTTGTCTGCCTTTGATTGTTTCTGTGGGTGGTTTGCTTCTTATGCTTGCTGCTGTTTGTTGTGTCTGCATTTGTGCGCCTGGTTGTTTGTTTGCTTGCTTGCGGGCTTGTTTGTTTGCTTGTTTGATTGCTTGTTTGATTGCTTGTTTGTTTGGTTGGTTGCTTGCTTGCTTGTTTGATTGCTTGTTTGTTTGTTTGCTTCTTTGTTTGGTTGTTTGGTTGGCTCCTTGTTTGTTTGTTTGTTTGCTTGTTTGATTGCTTGTTGGTTGGTTGGTTGGTTGGTTGGTTGGTTGGTTGGTTGGTTGGTTGGTTGGTTGGTTGGTTGGTTGGTTTGTTGGTGTGATTTAGTTGGGTTGCGTGTGTTAGCGGTTGTTTGCTGTTTTGTTGATTTAGCGGTTGTTTTGTTTTACCGGATCCACAAACAAAGGATCTACATAGCTCGCTTTTCCGCCCTCGGTGGGATCGCCACACACTGGACAGCCGGATGAATTCGGAGGAGGAAACATAAGCCAAGTAAACAAAGCCGATGGTCCCTGTGGCCACGATCCTTTGGGCTTTTGTATGGTTCCTCAATACGATGGGAACATCTCCAGCTAGGCATGTAGCAATGTTGCAACCAAAGATGTGTGGAATAACTCTTGAAATGGCGCGTCAAAGGAAACCCAACTGGTGTCCCAAGCAGGGCAAAGGACTAAACGCGATTTCGGGACTGGCCAAAATCCCCAAAAGGTTCAAGTTTCTGGCTTGTTTCCAACTTGGCCGAGTGCTTTGGCTATAGGGTTGTAAACCAAAGCCTGCCAAATGGAGGTTTATAACCCCATTCTATCCCAAACAAAGATAGCCAAGAAGGGCATCCAAAGTCAACTTGCCT